TACAACACAATAAAATACAATGCAATACAAAAATAACAATATAAAATTAAAATTAATAATATAAAATAAATAAGAAATATAAACAATATAAAAGAAGTTAGAAAAGAAAAGTTATAAAAGAAAAGAATCCTGGCTTCAAGGCATTTCTCATTATATTGCATTTAATCCCACTCCCCCCCCCCCCCGCTTTTTCTCCCTGCATGGAACCCAAGTAGCTGACCCAGTCATCTGCCGCTCCAGTTTATCCCCACAACAACCCTGGGAGGTAGGTGAGGCTGAGAGCCGTGAGTTTCGTGGCTGCATGGGGACGCGAACCTGGCTCCCCTGAGGCCGGCTGCTGTCCTCCAGCCAACACGCCTTCCTGGCTGTCAGCATTTCGGGCTCTGTCCACTAGCCCCAAACCCTGCAACCTGGCTGCGGCGAATGGGCAGCCGGTGCTTTCTCTGCAGAGGCTCTGCGTGCTGAGAAGGGGCAGCTCCGGCCGCCGGCAGAGCCGCGGCATTTTGTGCCAGTCCCAGCAGCTGCACCAGCCATCCCCATACGGAGCCTGGAGCAAGGCGGTAAATAGCTGACTGTATGCTTTCGCCTTTAAAAAAAATCAGGAAGCAAGCAAGCTTCTCAGGGAGGGCTCAGTCTGCCCCTGAGATGCTAGCTGGCTGCGTGCAGGGAGGGGGGGGGTTTAGCAGTGCACCGAAGAGCATCACCTTGTTGTGGGCCTGTTAAAGTTCTGTTTTTCTGATCCCTCATTCTGTATCAACAGCTCACAGATCATTTTTGGGCCCCGCACTGCCCGGCTGAAAAGAGCCGCGTTATCACCGTTGCGGCACGGCTAAGGGTGTGACACGCTGCTGGTTTAGGCAGACAGAAAGTCTCACAACTTTCAGCGTTCCCCAACCTCCCCAAATCTGGCCAGAAGTGGTGGCGGGGGCCTCCAGGACTTCGGAGGCCTGCGAGCTGGCCTGGCCGAGCTGTGCCTGGATCTCTCCTGGCTTCTGGAGGGTTTATGTGCAGAGCCGTCTGGCGGCATCTCAATTTCAAGCTTCTCCCGTATTCCATAACCAAACGCGGCGCGTGCTCGTGATTTTGCAGTTAGACTGGGTTCCTGCGCCACATGTTTTGCAAACAAAGCGAAAGCACAGGGGGATGGGGAAGGAGAAAACACCCAGCGCACCTTGTCGACTGGGCAGGAGGCAGTCTGGCAAAGCCCCCCACCTGTGCATTCCTCCCCCAGATTTTCTGGCACGGCCACGGATTTCCTAGGAGGCTTTGGACGAGCCGCTCGGCTACCGCGCGGCTCCTGGCTTGTTCATTCCCGTGCCGTTCTCAGTGTGCACGTCGATTTTCGGCCCGTGGGCGCATTCTGCTGTCTGCTGCGGGTGGCGACATGAACCCTTCCAGGGACTCGTGTCTGAGGAGGATGCGTTGCATGAGCAGAGGGAAGAAGGAGAGCCGAGCGTGCAGCGTTTGGGAGGAAGATGGCGCGTGCAGTCCGAGGGTTACCAGAGGGGTCGGGAGCGAATGGAGACGCGCCAGCTCCCCTCCCTTCGTGCCGATCGCTTTCTGCGATCCCCTCCTTCGCCTGGGCTGCAGGGCACCGTTGTCAGTCGCAGAATACGGAGCCCTAAAACGGCCCAGGGTGCTTCCAGACGAGACATCTGTGCTGCAACGGTTCGGCTTCATTCGCAGAATTTTACTGGGATATCCAGCCGCTGCCGTCTTCCCTTCCACTTCCCACCACTTACTCTGCCTTTTTTCTTAGGAGGGAAATCTGTTAAGGCAGAAAAACCGCAGAATCACGCCTGGATGTGGCCCTTCTCACATTCATTCTCAGACACTCGCGGCGGGGGTGTCTCCTTCATGGTCCCATTTCACAGATCAGGAGGTAGGACTGAGCTGTCCCACATGGGCAAGAGAACTCCTTGAACCCCAAACCCAGGGACATAATTGGGAATACTCTTCCTCCTAAACGTGAGGGGTGAGGTTTGTCTTTGCTCTACGCCCACCCTCCTCATCTCCAAATATATTCTGGGACAGGATGAAATCATATGAGTGAAGCGCTTTTTCTTAGCTCTGTGTTCTGCAAACGCAGAGGTGTTTTGCTCCCACGAGCCGCTCGGCCTGCTTGCGGCTTCTCCAGTCCCTCGTCACAGGCACGTGGCGAGCCAGTGCAGAGAGCAAAATATTGAGCCCAGCATCGAAACTCCAGGCTAAGGCTGGGGCTTCTGCTACAGGCCTGGTCCTCATTGAGGTCCACCAGCCTGGGCAGGAGCTGGATTCACACTGAATGACTCAGGTGTGCTGTCAAAGGTCGACTTTAACGTGAGTAATACAAAGCAGAACCTGCTCCTGGCTTTGCAGGCGTGCTGGTCGTTTTGCTGAAAGCCCTCAATGGCTTGGGATGGCTGATGCCCCAGAAGGGTCCACAGATCACATCTGACCTTCCTGGGGACCTGGCCTGGCCCTTTGAGGTTCTCCAGGTGGCCGCACCTCCTCCCCTGGCTCCGTGCCCTTTCCCTGCACACCAATAGCTTATAGATTGATTGATTGATTGATTGATTGATTGAAAGACCATCCCTTACCAAAGTCTCGGGACAATTTAACAGTAAGACAAAAAATAAAACACAGCATCCTAATCAATCTCTGAGAATTGAACCCATATTAAAATAACAGTCAAAGCTTAAAATATTGGGAAAATAAACAGGGTTTAGCCTGGCGCCAAAAAGAATAAAGCGTATTCCGCAGTCGGGGTGCCCTTCTCCGCGTAGCCGCCCTCCTGATCTCCCTCAAGGAGGGCTCCCGGAGGAGGGCCTCCGACCCAGATCTTCAGGGGCAGGCCGGGACATTTCCCGGGCTTTTAGGTGTTTCCGCAACCCCACTCATTCTGAAATTTTGGGATGCCTCTTTGGAGGTTGAAGTCACTTGTGAGATGCTGGGAATTTTGGCCCCGCCCCTTTTGCTTTTGGCCCCACCCAGAACTGGAATTCGGGCCCCCACAAGCTTTTCTGACATTGAATTCAGCCCACTAGCTGAAAGCTTTTCCATTCCATTCCATTTAAAACTTATTTGAATTGCTAAATTATTGTATTTATTAGGATCTTAAATTAGCCGAGAATGCACCGGGGGTTTTAAATGTTTTTTTTCTTTTAAATTGTTATATTGTTATTGTTTATGTATTTTTTTTGGATTTTTTGTGAGCCGCCCCGAGGCTTTGTTGCGATGGGGGTGGCATAGAAATGTTTTAAATAAATAAATAAAGAATAAATCCCTGCCCTTGATACAGACCCATCCACCTGGCAACTAAGATCAGCTTCCCCTGCCCCACTGACTGGTCTGCCAGGCAGGCCAGCACGCGTAACAGGGCCCTTTCAGTGGTGAAGCCATCACTGTGGAACTCCCTGCCACATGAAATTCGATTGGTCGTCTCTTGCATACTTTTAATAGGCTTTAATGGCTGGGCTGTTTGCATCTGCTTATGCAAATGCCGAACTAGGCCAAGTTCTAAAAATACCAAGGCTCTCTCTATTTTATTAGTTGCTAAAACTTTACAATGTTTGCTGCTTGTTTTACGGTTTGCTTTAGGTGGGCTGTCTCTATCTTTGTTTTTGTTCTGATGTTGCATTTTATGATATATTTATATGATTCTTGTATAATTACTCTGTGCAAAGTGCCTGGGTGATTTACAGAGAACATGGAGTAAAAGATCATTTTGGGACAGACATGTAGCTTGGAGAACTGAACTTACAGCATGGGCCGTAACCAAAGTTATCCTAAATTTTGGAGGGCTCTCATTTGTAGGGTCGCCACGAGTCGGAGACGACTTGAGGGCACAGAAGCACGACAGCCTCAGATACAACCCCTGTCTGTGTGTCCTGCATTCTCAAAGTATTTTGCGCTTCTGAGCAGACGCGGAGGAGGCTGACGGGGGATTGCCAGTCCGCAGGGTGTTCCACATCAGCGTGCAGCACCCTTTCTCCAATGCCTGTCTGTCTCTTTCCCACAGGACATGCGGAAACACGTCATCATGACCCTCCTGGATACTGAACAGTCGTACGTGGAGTCTCTTCGGACGCTGATGCAGGTAATCGCCCTCTTTGGGGGCAAAGAAGAGGGAGGGAGCAGTTGGGTCATCATCTTGCCGGCAGTGATGGGACCTGCTCGCCACAGAAGCTGATTGTCAGTATTTGGAAACCGCTGCTGTGCGCTTGTCCAAGGGCTTGTCACGCGGATTACGTTATATTTATGCTCCCTCCTTTTTCCCAAGGGCTTTGCTGGGTTTTCCACCTCCTTGTTTTATCCACACAACAACAACCCTGTGAGGTAGGTTAGGCAAAGAGTCCGTGTGGGAGCTAAGCCCCCAATCTCCCACATCCATCTCTGGTCCTCAGTTTTCCTCCAGCCAACAAATAGTTTCAGTTTTCCGGAGATGATATCTTGGTTGGCACTTTTAATTTTGTCTGTATTTTGAGTTTGTACCTGGAAGTGTGCAGAATGGCTCGCTCAGTCTGCTCCTCATTCCATGAGCTGTTCTGACCAGTGCTTCACCTTCTCTTCCCTTAGCATCTAGTTTGCATAATTGTTCCCTGATATTTTTATTTGTCAAAAATTTTCCAAATATATGCATGCATAACGTGATTAAATTGCATCATATACAGCCCACAAAATGCAGAGGTGCATGTTAGCCTTAATAGCATACCTTGCATAAAGAAGTATTTTATGCATCTCTCACATTCCGAAAGTGTAAAAATATAAGCCCATTTTCCTTTAAAAAATGTCTACAGCTTTAAGTTGAATTGAGTACATTCATTTAGCAACCCCATTCTTTAACATTGATCATCTGGAGAGGTTGGGTTGGTCTTCCATCTCAGAGGACTCTAGTCTTGCAGTAATTATAAGATTAGCTACTAATTCCCAATTTTCTTACCTTACATCATTTTTAATTTGCCCCAAGAGAATGTGCATTCAACTGAATTCCAAAGGCAATCATAATTATGATTATAATTATGATTATAAGCACATGGTGGGCATGTCGTGAGCGGAGCCGGCTGGAGCCAGGGGTCAGACTAGATGGCCCGGGAGGCCCCTTCTGACTCACTCTGTTTCTCTGTTTTGAAAATTGCCTCTTCCTAAAACAAGGGAGAATTCCCCCCTGCCCCCCACGGTACCTTCCAGATAATTTAGACTACAGCTCCCAGCATTTCTGACCTTTGGTCATGCCAGCTGGGGATGATGGGCATTGAGCCAAGCAGCCAGGGGGCACGAGCTTGAGAAGGGTGCTCAGCTCACCTGCCTGCAGGTGGGCACTTTTTGGGCAGCCTGGCAAGCGCACAGTTTAGGGCTTCCACCAGAAGGAAAGAGTCATTGGGAGGGGTCCCCAACCCTTTTTGGACCCCAGGCCCATTGAAGGAAGGAGATGCTGCCACACAGCGCCTCTCATGCAGAGCATCCCTGGCCACATCGTGGCTGCCGGGAGAACCTGGCTCGTCGGAAGAGCAAAAGAGGGGCGCAGGGGAGGAAACGAGGCTCAGAAGGAGGGAAAAGGAGGCTAGAGACGGGGAAGGGGAAATGGCACTCTTGGGACTCTTGGTGGAGCCGTGCTGCTGAGAAGGATGGGAGACGGAGTCCCACAGTGGGAGGGCACCGGGTTGGGGAAGGCGCGTGTATCCAGAGGCTGAACTCTTGTGCCCAGTACCGGGCTTGGGAATAGCGGAGGGTGAGAATTCAGTTTGCAGGTGGGAATCCAGATTTCCTCAGCTCAGGTCCCCGGACTGCAGGCCGCTGCCTTCCCTCCCTAGTCCTCCTTGGGCTGAGCAATTGTGTGGACGCCCTGCAAGTGTTCTGCTTGCAGAGTTCGCAGGCTTTGTGTAAAGATACAAGCATTGTGTGCATTGCTTAAAAATGCCACACTTTGTGACTGTACACAAGGAAAGTGCTAGCGTTTCCAGACATGTGGGGACTTGCTCTCAGCTCGGCTGACCTCCAGGCCAGGGCCAGAGATGAGGGAGAAGCCCAAAGTGCGCAAGAGAGCTGGATTCCGGGCAGGTTTCTCATCCTGACCTGGGCGCTGTGATGGTGGACAGGAAAGGACCGCAGAACAGGAACAGAAAACCAGCCTGCAAAACGTTGCGAATGCATCCGGCCCTCTTTGGAGGCGTCTGCTTGACCGCTGGGAGAAACCGGATGCTGGGCAGAACATCCCGCTGCCCTGGCCCAGCAGGGCTTTTCCGCTGTCCTCATGACCCTTGAGCTCCGCTTTTTCCTCTGGGCGGAAAAGGTGTCCTTCTACATTTCTTTTTGAACCTCTGAAGGAATTTGCTCCTGCAATTGGGGTACAAGGTCCCAGTAGTGTTCTCCTGTTGGCCGTGCTGGCTGGGAATGATGGGAGTTGCCATCCAACAGCCCTGGAGAGGACCAGGTGGGAGAAGGCCCATGACTACCAGTGTCTCACTTGGTCTTCATCTTCCTTCATTTCCGGATTTAGGATTTTGTCTCTCCGTGTCTTTCTTGCTTTTTCTAAACGGAGCCTTGTCACCGTCTTCCTGGAACTGCAGCCATTCCTTCCCCTTCTCCTGTCTTTTGTCCCTTCCACTCTTGGTCCTTCTCCCCCAGCCCAGATGAGCTTGGAGGATTTTTGTTTTAATTCCTCATTTTCTTTCCTGGCTCCCTTACGTATCATGTGAAATAGACTAACCAATGCAGGCCCGGAACTTTTCTAACCGTCAGCCTTTTCTTGGGCTTCATTTAATGCCCTTCTTGTCTCTCCGTACACTTCCAAATCCTGATTTCCATATTCCTGCACCTGGTCTCTGTCTCCCACTTGTTCCTGCTGTTTTCTTCCTCGCTTTGATCTTGCCCCACCTGGGTTCCCCTTCTGTTCTTCGCTGGCTCTCCGTACCTCCAAGTGCTTCAGGTGGCCATGGCTGAACTGGCAGTCCCACCCCAGGAAAGAGACCTGGGGCTCCTGGCGAATCACTTAATGAAAATGTTAACGCAACATGGCAGCTGTGGGAGGAGGCAAATCCCAGGAAGAAAGGGGTTGAAAGGAACACTGCCAGGACTGGAATATTTTTCAGCCAGTTTGTGGTGCAGCTGCCTTTGGGATCTCACATCAGCCTTCTACGTAACCACTCACCTGGTTGCCACTGGCAACCAGAAATCCCATGCAGGCAAGTGTGTGAAATTCTCTCTAGATGATGGAGAGACGAGGGCACTGGCAAAGGAAAAATAGAGAGCGTTGTTTCTGTTTTGCCATCATGCTGTGCCTGCAAAAAACAGCGATTACTCTGCTTTTTATACATAAGTGGGAGCCCTGAGTTAAAAGTCAGGAAGGTCTCTTCTTTTCTTGTGGACTGGTAACTTACAGGGCTTATTAACAAGATGGTATCGTTAGCACTGGGACAAATCTCACCAGACTCCATCTCTTGAGCATTCTGGGGACTACTTCTCGTGCTTAGCCTGGTCTTGCAAAGTGAGCTGAGCCAGGAGGAAGTCCACAAACACTTGTGGAGCGAATAATTGGTTTACATGATTAATTTTAAATGATTATTGCTTGTATTGGGATTTTAGTCATCAGTATGGTTGTTTGTCTCACCTTGACTTGTGTTAGAATGAGAGCCAGTGTGGCGTAGTGGTTAAGAGCCTGGGACTGGGACTCAGAGGATCTGGGTTCGAGTCCCCGCTCAGCCATGGAGCCAACTGGGTGACTCTGGGCCAGTCACAGACTCTCAGTCCAACCTACCTCACAGGGTTGTTGTTGTGGGGATAAGATGGAGGAGGGGAGATGATGTGAGCTGCCTTGAGCCCTTTGTAGGATAAAGGCAGGATATAAATCGATAAATAATAATAATAATAATAATAAATTATTATTATTAATATGTCATTTATATTTTAATGATGTTTTGTTGTTTTGTTGTATAGCTGTAATTTTCTGTTTGTTGCATGCCACCTAAAGAGTCTTTCTGAACTACTTGGCAGCTTACAAATAAACAAACAAACAATCCATGGGAGAATGCTCACGTTGTACAGGTAGGCAGGGAAGGACTATGCCAGAAGGAAAGACAAAGCTCAGAATCAGACTCACGTTGGAACCAGCCTGGAAACGGAGCTCCCTCCTCCCACCCAGCAAGTGCCGTGCTTCGCTTCAGAGCAGGAAGGAAAGGGGACGGGACTCCACCAGGAATGCTTGCATCTTGGTGGCAGGAGCCCCCTTCCTGGAATGGCCAGAGGGCCCCCTTCTCCGAGTTCACTTTTGCAGCCTTGGAAAAGCAGTCGGTGCAGCGACTGCAAACAGCAAGGGAGGGCACGCCAACCAAACAATCCCACCTCCAACATTGCGGCAATTCCCAACATTGGGAGAACTCTCAAAACTCCTTTGGTCCTCTAGACCCCGTCGGAGGGGCCTTAGGGTCGTGCTGCCCATTGCTCAGGTCATGCGATCTGTCAGCATGAACTTTCCTGAGTTTGAACAGCAAAAGAATTAAGGTGCAATATTTACACAGAAGAAAAGTCCTACAACTTCCAGCACGTCCCAGCCAGCTGGGAACTGTAGGGCCTTTCTGTCTGTGATTCAAATACCGGGATGCTCCGGGAAGTTAAAACAGGACAATACAGCCCATGAGCACACAACCACAACAGCACGTCTTACAATAACATTATTAAATATGGATAAGTTATCATGGGTGATTGTCTTATTGATCACACAAGCGCTTGCTTCGAGCCCTTTCCAGTTTGGTCAGGTTAGGCCTAGAAGGGGTTCCTGGCCAACTCATGAGAAGAAGGCGCATTCATGGAGAAATTCAGGAGCACAGCAAGGGGAAATGAGTCCTCTTTTGAGGAAGCAGGAGCCTCAGACCGTGGGAGGCGGTGGATGTGGAGAAGCCAAAGTCACAGGTGAGGCTGTGAAAGCAGGGGGCAAGACTGTGCGGACGAGGGAGGAGGCGATTCCCACCGTCCAGGCGAGAGACTGTCAGGGCCTGACCAGTTTCTGGGAAGGGTCGTATTTTTGTTCGTAGAAGTTTGCTTCCAGTTCTGAAAATTGGCATTTAGTCCTGTGCATTCAAAGTCAAGTTACGGAGAATTCCACCGCTGCTTCACAGAAACCCACTCCGCAGGGCAACCGAAAATACATGTTGGTGCTTCCACAGGCTGCTCAGTTAAGCCAGCCTCCACTCTGGCTTTTAACTGGAGAACCACGAGACATTAATTGGAAGTGGTAACAGAGCCCTGTGCATCCTTTCACAAGCGAAGAGAGCTCAATTTGCCTGACGGACGGAAATTTAATGAGAATTTAGAAAGCTTTAATTCAGCAAAGTGAAATTCCTGGAAAGGTTTTTGAGGTCTTCACACATGCCATCCATGAGGAGAGTGGAGAAAGAAAATACAGGCTAATGTATGCCAAAAATAGCAGAGGACATGGACCATTGGGTAGGAAAGGAGCAATTCGGCTTGGCTTTTAAAATCCCTGCAAGACACTGAATATTTTCTCTGCTTCAGAAGGACTCCAAAGCTGTGGAGGCCCAGACAGAGCCCTAAACTGTTGTTTGGTGCCATCGTGAGCCTTGGTGGTATGCAGTCCCCCTCTGGTTTGTTTTAGTAAACTATGGTTAAGATTAACCACTTTTTTCCAGGTTCAGACATAGCAGTAAACTGGTTCATTGGAAATAATAATAATAATTATTATTATTATTATAACATTTCTATGCCACCCCTTGCCGAAGCCTTGGGGCGGCTTACAACACAATAAAATACACTGAAATACAATAGCACATAATAAATTACCACTAAATACAAAAATACAAAAAATACATTGAGTTACAAACATAATAATATAAAATTAAAATTATCAGTATAAAATAAGTAAATAAATAATATAGGAGGAGAAAAGAGAAGGAAGAAGAAGTTGCCCTGGCCAGATCATATGTTTTAACAATTAAAATGATGTTTAAATAAAAAGGTCTTTACCTGGCGCCGAAAAACCAGTAATGACGGTGCCAGGCGGACCTCTTTGGGGAGTGAATTTCATAGGTTGGGCACCACTGGAAATGGAGGCGGATGCGCCTGATCTCAGGTTGTTAATTGTGTATGCAGTTAATCTAAACTTCCATTTTATGCTACATCCAGGCAAGGTAATTCAGTTGGCACGCGTGTGCCTGTGCACGGCTTGAGTTCTTGCAGAGGCCTTCCAGGCATAGCAGGTGCTTGATAGAAATATCTCTCTGTGGGATTGGACCAGAGGCCCAGCTAGTTCTTACATTTATTTATTAGATTTGTATCCTGCCTTTTTTCTTACAAAGAACTCAGAGCAGCTCACGTCATTCTCCTGCTGCTGCTCTCAGTCTTATCCCCACAACAGCAACCCTGCGAGGCTGAGCGTCTGCGACTGGCCCAAAGGCACCCAGCCGAGCAGGGCCTTGAACCCAGATCTGTCGGATTCGAGTCCCTCACTCTTAACCAGCGCACCATCGCTTGAGGGGTGGAGTGGTGCCAGGCTTGTTGGATGCACAACACCGCTCCTCCTTCCTCCTGCTGCCATCTCAAATGCCAAAGGGTGCCAGATTGAACCCTGGAGAGCATCTGTGCAAGTCCAAATCTCCAGACTGGGCGCTGGGCTCTCCCCTCCCGCTCCCCCCATGTCCGGTCGTTCACCACACCCCCACCTCGCTCGGGGCCACACTTGGAACCCTGATGAGTTGCAGCCAGCTGGCGAGGAGGCCGTGGACTTCCTTGGCTCCTCCTGCAGCATCCCAGTCTGGACCGTCTTGGCTCCAGGCCTTAGCCTAGCTCTGCTTGGCTCACCGTTCAGGCTTCTCTCATCTTTGCATGCAGAAGAGCCCCTGAAAAGCAAAATCTTCCGTTAATTAATGGGAAAGGAAAGTAAGTCCCAGTTGGGATGCCCCACTGAGCCGCTCCCTCTGTTGTTAAGCACCCCTCTGATTGTTTTCATCCGCTCCCTTGCAGGGATACATGAAGCCCCTGAAACTGCCCGAAAACTCCATCCTCTGTGACCCTTCTCTGGTGGACGAGATCTTCGACCAGATCCCTGAGCTGCTGCAGCATCACGAGGAGTTCCTGGAGCAGGTCTCCGAGTGTGTGCAGAACTGGCACGAGAAGCAGAAAGTGGGAGATGTCCTGGTGCAGCTGGTAAGCGCAGGCCCCCAGGGGCCGACTTCTGCAGGGCAGCGGGAGCTGGGGAGAAGAGCTGGAAGTGGGAAGGGGATGCAGCATGCGTGGCGAACTGGAAGGCCGAGGGTGTGCCAGGCCGGCGTCGCGATGGCAGAGCGGACAGGAGGTCTGTGTCCTGCGCTTTCGTTCCCGTATCGCCCGACTACAGCAGCGCTGGGCAGCTTGCAAAGACGAGCACCTTCAAAGCTCAGCCTGGCTTCTCAATAGAAACAGCCATTTGCATAAAGGTGCGTATGTGGGTTTGACACTGAATGATAAGGAATCCCATTAAAAACCCCGGAGAGGAGGAGCTGGCCCTTAAAAGATTGGCAAAGCTGACGCTGGGCAGACCTCATTTGAGATGCGGGAGCAGGTTGGGTGTCCTGTGGCATCGGATCTGCCCATGGGAGCAAGGAAGCCCTTCTCGGAGGGGCACCCCTTTTGCCTGCACCAGGTGAGTTTTGGAACAGTGGCTCCGCTCCGACGTCTCCCCCTCCTCACCCGTGTTCCTAGAGGAGCTGAAAATTCCTTGACCTGGAATCGTCCCTCTCCTGCTCTTAGTTCCTCTGTTGTGCCCCTCAACTCGAGACCAGCCTGCTCTCTAAATCGGGAGCACCACTTTGGGGTGGGGCCCTGCCGAATCCTGCAGGCCAGATACTATCCTGGCCACGGCCTTCTCTGTGGTGGCACCGCCGCACCTTCCGAGAAGAGGCGTGGGTCTCCCAGGAGGGAGAGAGCCAGGGTTGTCCTGCAGCCCTACTGCAGGGATTGGAGGTAACCCCCAGGGTCGGCCGGCCTCTGGAGGGCTTCCTCTGGGGGGTGGCTTGACGCCTGAGCCCCGTCCGCTGGAGGAGCCCCCACAGGTAGTGCAGGTTGCACTGGAGTGGCCTGTGGACCAGCGCTTCTGCACCCCTGCTCTAAACACAGCCGTGAGTGCTCCGGCATCTCTCCTACTGCGAGAGAAAGCCCCAGAGGGCTTGGGACTGGGATACCTGCGAGATCCCTTCCCCTGGTCTAGCCCACCTGGTCCCTGGCATCGGACGAGGCGCCCCTGCTAGTCCCAGGTGGGCCTGCGGTCCCTTGGCATCGATCAGTGGAGCACAGCTGGCGAGACTTCCTGGGCAGGACATCGCCTCCACAGCAGCCAAAGCCCTTTTTTTACCAACCACGGCGTTATTAGCATAATTTGATTCTAAAGATTTATCCTCATATTTTGAGACTCTTTTTTCCTTCCGTCCTTCCGTCCGTCCGTCCGTCCGTCCTTCCTTCCTTCCTTCCTTCCTTCCCAACCGCATGAGAATCCTATGGGATGTGGAATGATATATACAAATCTTATAAGGAAGTGAATAAATAGTTCTGAATCCAGGTCCCACCTGAGAATCTTGCTCACCTGCCTGGCCCACACTGCAGGGCTGTTGTGGGTATCCCCTTTGTGTTCTTCGGGGGTGGTTGATCTGTCTCAGTTTTTGGTGTGGGAGACTCGGCACACCCGAGTCTCCCACACCCAACCCCAAATGGGGCCCGATCCATAGCCCATTCACCTTTCCAGCCCTTCTGATTGCTCTAGAAACTTAGTTATCTGCTAACATCCTGTCATTATTCCACAGAGAAACAAAGTTACTCAGGGAATCTTCCCTGGGGAATGCCATCAAAAGCAGTGCTGGATTCCCAGGAATCCTCCCCTAGGCCCCTATTCAGTCTTCAAAACTTATGAAGGACTAGAAACTTAAGCAGGGAGCCGCAGTTTCCAAGCTGCTGAATCCTGTGGCAGGTTGCACGCAGCCCCTACCTGGGGGTCTCACGTAGCCTCGCTAGAGACCGTGCCGACCAAGCAGATCCGGGTTGCGGTTTCCAGGCCAAGGGGGTGGCTTTGGTTCGAATCCAAGAGCCCGGAGATGGAGAGAAGGCTGCCTCGCCGTCCTCTCGTAAATCCCCGTCAGCCTCGAGCCATCCGCCAGCCTGCGCCCTCGCCCTCTCCGCCTCTCCAGCCCTTTTCCCTTGAAAGTGCTTTTCTTGGAAAGGGCACGGAGCAGATGCTGCCACTGGAGAACGGGGACCTGGGAGGAAACCGGCGAGTGCCAACAAGAGAGCCATCTGCTGCGGGCACTCGGTGTGCAAGCCACGTCCGCCTGGTGGGTGTCGAGTTGGCGGCGAGAGAGTGTCGGCCAGGCTGCCTGTTGCGTCCACCCCCCCGCCCTGCAGCCCTCTGGAGCATGTACAGCTCCCCAGGGAAACCTGGCGGAAGATGCGGCGGGCGTGCACCCAAGATGCTATCGCTCACCATCCCATCACCACAAAGGGGCCTCACTCGGGGCAGAGCATAGTCCTCATGGCCTCCAGCCATGGGAGTGGGTCTGGATGGGATGCTCCTGCCCTGCGTGGGGCCTCGAGGCTCCCCCACACGGCAACCTGCTTCCGGAACGAGCGGGCAGCGCTCGGAGCACTTGGCTCTTGCTTTGCAACTTGAGCAGCAAATCGGGGGCATTTTCTAATGACTCCTCGGGAAATCGTATCAGGAGTTTTTCACAGAGACCTGTTTGCTGATCCTTGCTTGTTTACTCAGAAGGAAGCCCCAGTGATTTAAGTGGGGCTTCCCTCCAAGGAAATAGGTTTTGCGTGGCTATCCAGGAATCCTTTCTTTTCGGCTCTGTCTCGTCAGCGGCCCTCACATCTCCTTTCCTGTGGATGAACATGGAAATACCTGAAATCAGCCTTCAGTTTGCTGGAAACCATAATCCACTTATCTCAAGATTCTGTTCCCTCATTCCATGCCTAGGAAGAGGGTCTGAGAGATCTCCCTGGTACGGGACACTCACAGTGTCCATTCCCTCCAGGATCCTGCTGGCCGGGGCCAAATCCTGGCTTTGGAAGCCAGTTGGGATGCCGAGGAGGCCTTGTGGGGCACTCCACCCAGGAAAGCCCCCAGGCAAAGCCAGGCAATATTCCTTAGAAAATAGTTTGGTTTAATTCCAAGATTCGATGCATGTGGATTTTTGTACAATCAGATCTGTGTGATCTGATAACCGAGACTGCTGGGAGTGGAATAGCCCAGGGGAGACGAACGAGGAGGAGGGGCTGTTCCAGCAGACCTATTGAAAAACGGCTATTTATTCCCTCTCTTCCTTTACTATCACTTTTTATTTCTGTGCGGTATCTTCTTAGACGCTAATCCTGCAGGCAGCAGCTGCCTTTGCTCTGGGAGCCCTTTTGACTGAGCTGGATAAAAATACTTTAGGACATGAATAAAGAAAGTTTAATCACTTATGTTGCAACTGAAATGGGCCCCCACCTTTATTTATTTATTTATTTATTTAGAAAATTTCTATGCCGCCCCATTCGCCGAAGCCTTGGGGCGGCTCACAAAGATATCAATTATAATACAATAAAATATAAAACAAGTTAACAATATAAAATAAAATAAAATAAAATACATGAGCAGGTAACAGACGATGAGACTAAAAATGGAGGAGGGAGGATTTATCCAGCTTGCCAGTGGTGAGCAGCAGCGTAAAACATGTAAAACAAGCCCACACGGGTTGCAGTACAATGTTTTCTCCTCATGCAGCTCCGTTGTCATTTAATATTCATGCAGTGAATCAACTTCGATTTCCTTAACTGGGACTCCTAATAATAGTCATAGTATTTCTCTGTAATTTTCCAGAGGTGTTAGCCTGAAACACACCTGGCAGTCCAACACTCCTGGCTGCCCAGAGACCATTTATTTATTTATTTATTTATTTATTTATTTATTATTTATTTATTTATTTAAACATTTTTATGCCGCCCCATTCGCCGAAGCCTCGGGGCGGCTTACAACATAGATAAAACGATAAGTTAAAATATCCATATAAAATAATCTTAATTAAAACACACATTATAAAATAAGCCGCCCTGGCCAGATAAAATTCAATTGTATTTAGCATTTAAAATGTTGATTAAATAAAAAGGTCTTGGCCTGGCACTGAAAAACAAATAACGACGGCGCCAGGCGGACCTCTCTGGGGAGCGCATTCCATAGATTGGGCGCCACCGCTGAGAAAGCCCTTCTCCGAGTACTTACCCTCCTAATGTCCTTCATGGAGGGTTCCCGGAGAAGGGCCTCTCCCGCTGATCTCAAGGGGCGGGCGGGCATATACAGACGTAAGTGCTCCTTCAGGTAACCAGGACCCAAGCCGTTTAGGGCTTTATAGGTCATCACCAACACCTTGAATTGGGCCCAGACTTCAATGGGGAGCCAGTGAAGCTGACGGAGCTTCACACTCACCCCATTCTAGGGGTGAGTGTGTTGGACTGGGGGATCCGCGTTCTGGCCCCCACTGGGCGACTTTGGCCCAGTCCCAGACTCTCAGCTCAACCTACCTCACAGGGTTGTTGTGAGGATGCAGGTGAGAGCAGGCGCGGGGAAATTAGGTAAGCCTCTCTGAGTTCCTCAAAAGGAAGAAAGGCAGGATATAAATGCATAAAATAAATACGGGGTCAGAGTTCTTTGCAGATACTGTCTCAGTCACCCTGGCATCACCTCTCCAAAGGAGACCAGTTTAATTGCAAGGAGTGATGCTCTGGGCCGTGGCTGAAACAGGTCCATGGATCACCTGAGTGGATAAATGACCGACGCAACACGGCTTAGTCCTCCATCTTTTCCGGACGGATCAGCAGAGCACCGAAACCAGGGGAGGTCGTGCTCGTCGCAGCCCTGTTTGGGGAAGCGTGTGCCCAGCCCTCTTGAAGCTGCAGAGCTTGGGAGGTACAGGCTGCTGACCGGCTACGGAAGCCTTTTTCCCGCCCAGCGCCGAGGGAAGGGCCTCTTTCTCGGCACTCCCCAGGGGAAAGTGCATGCCTGTGATCTGCCCCGTTTCTTGCAGCTGACAAGCCGCTTCTCGGCCCTTTCCTCCTACCTGGAGGGTAAACCCAAAGCTGCTGATCTGAGATGAGCCCTTTTGCCAGCAGAAGGGGTGGGCCCAAAAGAGGGGAGGGGTCTTGGAAAGAAGCGGGCGGGCAGCAAGGGACCTCGGTGGCTCACCGATTCCCCACACCTGCTATGGGGACTCACCTGGCAATAAGCCCCTTGGTGGAGACATCCTTTTGAGTAGTCTTATATTCGGTTGCATGGTTAGTCTCTCCGAAACGGTTGTCTTTAGCAACCAGAGAGCTTCGCAATGGGGGCGCAGGGGAAGTTAAAGAAGGGCTCCGGGAGGTCATGCATGTCGCTTCCGCTCTCCTGTTGCAACGGGGAGAAGGAACGGGGAGCCCAATTTAGGGTGGAATGCACAGGCAGAACTCCCGGGGTGGCGTTCCCCAGAGAGCTGTCGTTCGGTGTGGAAACGTCACTGATAAATAGCAATAAATAATGGGCTGCACCCGGACCCCCAGCGAGGGTGCAGGTAGCTTGAAAGAGCAAAGCCTCATCAAATAGGGAGCCACGACCGGCTGATGCTGCGTGCGTGGGCAGGGCGGCCAGGGTGAAGTGAGAGGCCGGATGGTGCATGGACTAGCCAAACCTGTGCGTATTGTGTCGTCTTGCGCATAAGCTTAGAGGCATAAATTACGTGTGACTGCTGCTTTTTCCCTTCTTTCCAGGAGCCCGAGGTGGAGCCTGATGGTCCTCTCCACTTTGTCCTTGATAAGCATGTAGTCAGGAGAGGGCAAATTAGTTTTATACAGTGCAAAGCTGATTTCGTTTTGCACTGTGGATCTTTGTCTTAATACCCTGTGTGCGTTTTTCAAAAAGCTTTGCATTGGAAACCCCCGTTTTTATTCGTATAAACTGTTCTGAAAGATATAAATGAAGCGAAGAAAGAATTGATTGTAAGTTTGATCATGGCAGTTAGGCTAGCAATGGTTAAATATTGGAAACAGAATTGGGTTTTGCAAAGGTAGGAATGGTATAATGAAATATGGTAATTAATTTTTATTTATTTATTTATTTATTATTTATTAAAACATTTTTATGCCGCCCCATTCGCCGAAGCCTTGGGGCGGCTTACAACATAGATAAAACAATCAGTTAAAATATCCATATAAAAGTATCTTAATTAAAACACACATTATAAAATAAGCCGCCCTGGCCAGATAAAATTCAATTGTATTTAGCATTTAAAATGTTGCTTAAATAAAAAGGTCTTAGCCTGGTGCCGAAAAATAAATAACAACGGCGCCAGGCGGACCTCTCTGGGGAGCGCATTCCATAACTTAGGCGCCACCACTGAGAAAGCCCTTCTCCGAGTAGCCACCCTCCTAATTTCTCTCACGGAGGGCTCCCGGAGAAGGGCCTCTCCCGCCGATCTCAGGGGGCGACTGGGCAAATATGGGTGTAAGCGCTCCTTCAGGTAACCAGGACCCAAGCCGTTTAGGGCTTTATAGGTCATTACCAACACCTTGAATTGGGCCCGGACTTCAATGGGGAGCCAGTGAAGCTGACGGAGAACTGGCGTCATGTGAACATAACGTCCAGTCCCCGTCAGCAGCCTGGCAGCTCTATTCTGAACCAATTGAAGTATCCGGACCGTCTTCAAGGGTAGCCCCACGTAGAGCGCGTTACAGAAGTCAAGACGGGAAGTCACCAGTGCGTGTGTCACCATCGCCAGGCAGTCGTACTCCAGGTAGGGGCGCAGTTGATGAATCAGCCGAAGCTGGAGGAAAGCGCTCCTCGCCGCTGCTGTCACCTGAGCTTCAAGTGAAAGCTCCGGGTCGAGGAGCACTCCCAAGCTGATGATAAACTGATGGCAGAAATAAAATTTAAAAATGGGTTAATGAAAGCAAATAAATATAATGAAATTTGGGAAGATTTTGTAAACGCAGTACTGATAGAAGGCAAAGGCTGTAAACCTAATCGAGATTATATGAATTTCTGGAGGGGATATGGATATAATTGAAGTATATTATGTATTATTAATTATTATTATAATATGTGAATTAAGTGGTGGTAGTATTGGTCTCCGGGGTGGTGGGGGCACTTTATCATTTACCTTTTTAAATATAGTGTTTTTGCTATGTTATATTATCAATGTTGTGATGTGTTGTATTTATGTGTTTTTCTGTTTCAAAAGGGGAGTAAAAAAACTGTTCTGAAAGGAGGAAAAAACTGAAAAATATGAATAGACTGCATCCGTGCGCACGCACACACAATGGCTTAATCGAAATGTTCTAATAATAATCATAATCATAATCGGCTTTTAATTGCCATCTCCAAGGGCCTAGACATGGGCTCTTGATTTTTGGCAAATTCCAGTTTCCTTTGTTACGGCAGCCGTTGGAACTGCAAGTCTCATTTAAGCCTTTCTCGCATTCGTCTAGTTTTCCAAGGAGATCTTGGTGACTATTTACTCGGCCTACATCGACAATTTCCTCAACGCCAAGGACGCTGTGAGGATCGCCAAGGAAGCAAGGCCGGCATTTATGAAGTTTCTGGAGGTGGGGCTTCCTTTCTTCCTGGCTTGTAAGAGGAAGGGGTCGCTTGGCCTGAGCTTTCCAGTAAACGGCAGGGCCCAGGTCCGAAGGAGTCCATCGGTCTGCACGAGATTTTGCCAAAGTTTTTGCTCCTCCGGGCAAATTCCAATGTTGCCAGCCTTCCTACTGCACCAACAGTGCAAGAGAAGTTAATTAAATCATTAAATACTGCCCTGAGACATAGTGAAGGGCAGGATATAAAAGCTTTCAATCAATCAATCAATCAATCAATCATTTATTTATTAAATAAATCATTTATATATTATTTAATTTGACTCTCGTCTTCCACTATGTTGGTATCCTCTTGTGCTTACGGGTACCTTTCCTAACTGGCGTCTTCGCCAGTTCACACTCTGGGACCCCCCAGATCTGTCAGAGCAGCTCCCATTATCCCCAGCCAAGAGAGAGCCATAGCGTTGCAGCCCAAGTCACCTCTCCCCCTCCCCCAAATGTGTCGGCAGCCAGTGCTGCGTCCCCAAGACCCTCTCCCTGGAAATTTGCGCAGCCTGGCAGTTGCGAGTTCGTCCCCACGGCTGGGCCAGCTCTGCACGCAGCGGGGCCTCCTTCCGGGGGGAACCACGGACCGGGCTTAATCCCGGCTCCCCCAGCATGAGCAGGGCCGGCTTCACGTCGCGGTCTTCTCTCTCTCTCTCTCCAGCAAAGCATGAGGGAAAACAAGGAGAAGCAGGCCCTGTCGGACCTCATGATCAAGCCGGTGCAGCGGATCCCGCGATACGAACTTCTGGTCAAGGTGAGCCCAGCGGGGTGGACCGGACAGCGCTTGTTCATGGCAAGCGCCACTAAAATGGGTCCGAGCCGTGGGAGAGTGGTTCCGTTCGATTGGGTCTGGTTGTGCGCTTGTATGCCGCTTTCACCCTACCCATCGTTACAGGATTTAGGGCGTAATCCGGTGCCCATCTAGACAGAAAACAGACCTTCAGCTCCAGTGCCCCTGGCAGAATTTTTTCTGCCTTCACCATGGGGCACCTTTCCCATGATTTTGTTACTTCTCCGATGTCGTTCTATGGCTTCTGTTCCACTGAGAGGGAAGGGGTGGAGCATGCATTGCGTGAGGAAGGAATCATGATGGTGGAGTGGATATTCCGCTCGCCCTGCGGAGACCTGCCTTCCGGTCTCCACACAGCCGTGAAACTCAGTAGGCGACCTCCTCCGGGGCTCCCTCTGTAATCTCCGTGGGGCGGTTGGGAAGGCAGGATCATAAACGGTCTGGAAGTGAGCGGGGCCAAGGCGCCTGGTGGTTGGAAGGTTCTTAGGATGATTAGAACAGAAAGCGATTGTGAGGCCTTTCCAGTCGCTCCAAAGAGATCTCTCTCTCAGTTGCTCCAAAGAGATCTCTCTCTCAGTTGCTCCAAAGAGATCTCTCTCTCAGTCGCTCCAAAGAGATCTCTCTCTCTGTCGCTCCAAAGAGATCTCTCTCTCAGTCACTCCAAAGAGATCTCTCTCTCAGTCGCTCCAAAGAGATCTCTCCAATCTCTCAAAAGAGATCTCTCTCTCAGTCGCTCCAAAGAGATCTCTCCAGTCTCTCAAAAGAGATCTCTCTCTCAGTCGCTCCAAAGAGATCTCTCTCTCAGTCACTCCAAAGAGATCTCTCTCTCAGTCGCTCCAAAGGGATCTCTCCAGTCTCTCCAAAGAGATCTCTCCAGTCGCTCCAAAGAGATCTCTCTCTCTCAGTCGCTCCAAAGAGATCTCTCTCTCTCAGTCGCTCCAAAGAGATCTCTCCAGTCTCTCCAAAGAGATCTCTCTCAGTTGCTCCAAAGAGATCTCTCCAGTCTCTCCAAAGAGATCTCTCAATCACTCCAGAGAGACCTCTCCAGTCTCTCCAAAGAGATCTCGCTCTCAGTCACTCCAAAGGGATCTCTCCACCCACGGAGAACGGGCATCAAAGAGCAGGTGCAGGTCAGAGTGAGGAAGTCCAGAGTGACGGTCACTGCAGCCAAGAACATTCCGGCGTCTGGCTGAGGTCACCTGAGCCAGCAGGGACTGACCGGGAAGCTGATCTGGGCGGTGTGGTTCACAGCCCCATGGCAATGTCAAAATCACGTGTGGCTGCTGTGAAAAAGGCCCACTCCACGCTGGCCATAATTCGGAAAGGAACTGAAAATAAAATTGCCAAGATCATGCTCCCCTTGTGGAAATCTTTGGGGCAACCACACCTAGAATACCCCACACAGTTTTGTTTACTGGTTACTGCACCAAAAAGGATATTGTAGAACTGGAAAAAAATGCAGAAAGGGGCAGCTAAAACGATGAAGCAAGTCCCCTTTGAGGAAGTGCTGCAACATCTGGAATCGCTTAGCTTAGGGAAACAGTGAGTGAGGCGAAACATTTTGGAGGTGTGCATGATGGAGAAAGTGGAAAGGGAGCTATCTTTCTCATAATGCTAAAAACCTGAAGGGGTCCTCCCATGAAGCTCATTGGGGGGAGAACCGGGGCAGAGAAAAGGAAGGGCTTCCTCACGCTGCACAGAGTTAAACTGTCACAGAATTGCGGAACATGCACCGCTCTGGCTGAAAAGCCCAATTCCATTTCAGAGAAGGGCTTGTGTTACTGAAGTAACGTGCAGGGTCAAAAAATAGCAGCATATTTTAGCATCATTTTCATGCTGCTAATGGCCTTTGAAGAGAGATTTCAGCCTTTTAGAAGAGAAAGCCAGGAGACCCCCCCCCCCCCGCCCCCACTGCCAAGCAGGATCGGTGCAGGGGCCGGAGCCCCAGCAAGGGGGCATGGCCATCTGGAGAAACCCAGAGGGCTGGAATGAGATCCCAAGCGGGGTGGATATTGCAAGTGGGGCTGATTTAAATGAACCTTTGAAAATATTTCCTGCAGGGAGCCCATGTTTACATTCTTGCAGCTTAAGAAACAAAGGCAGTCACCATCCAGGAAAGCCTCTTGAGCAAACCCCAGTGAAATAAATGCAAGATGTGTGTTTCTGAGAGCCCCCCCCCCGCCCCCCGCATTTCAGTGAGGCTTGGCATGCAAGAGACATTCTGGGGATGCGGGGGGCGTTCCAGCTCAGCTCTCCCAAGTGCTCTGCCGCCTGGATCCTGGCTCATGGGCTGCAGTGACAGCTTGCGAGTCCAGCATGCTGCATTCCTTGGATAGTTCACATGCTTGGGTCCGATTCCAGGAAAGAGCCGAGCCATTGCTTGCTCCGGAGCACTGAAGTCTGCATAGCCAAAGAGAGAGGGAACACTTTTACCGGCAGCCTTGACCTGCACGGTCCAAAGGTTGCAAAAGCCCAAGTGGAGCAGGAAGGTAATAGAAGAGACGTCATTGCTTCGTTTCTGTCCACACTCTTTGCCGAGTGAGGCTTGCAAAAGATGGGGGGAACATTCCTCTGCCCACGCCGCGAGCCGCTGGTCCTGAATCTGGACGGTCCAGTCTTCGACCTCTTCAAACACACGTCCCTGTGAAATCGGGAGGACTTGAGCACCTAGCCAGGCATGCATGGGAAAGTAGCGCTAACGGCTAAAGACATGTGGGGTTGTGTTTCGTCAATGAGCCGGCTGCATGCGAGAGCTTTGTGTGCGCTTGCCATCAGAACTGTAGAGTTGAAAGGAACCAGTTTCCCAGACAGCTTCCTCCCACCACCTCCAGTGCATCCTTGACGAGAAAGATTGTCTGGGTTTTGGAGCAGGGGTGCATAATCTGCGGCCCACGGGCTGCGTTGGCCGGCGAACACGGGTTGTGCAGTTCTCCAGCCCCAGGAATCTGGCGTCATGGCAGCTTTTGCAGCATGGACGGTGGCACAAAAGGAGCAATTCACTTCAAAGCGGCGAGCGTATGTGTTTGCACATGCATGCACACTTGTGTTGCTTTTCTGCAGTGCTCTTTTGCATACCCAAAGTGCCTTGGGTGCCCATGCAAGAGCTCTGTGCTTGCCCTAACCGAATTGTGCTTCGGTTCTAGCAAGGTGTAGGGATTAAAGTAATGTCCAGTGTTCCCACAGTCTGGCCCTCAAGCAGCACAAACCTTCCTGAGGGTGGAGCCAAGTTTGTTTGGGGGAGAAAGGGAGGACAGTTGGTTTGGAGTCAGTGCCTGTTACAGGCAAGAAATATGTTCACAAGCAGGGGATCTTAACTTGATAGGTGTGTCTTGCTAATAACATAATAAAGCTCGGAGTTAGAAGGGTATCATCGTGAACTGCTGGGAAGGGAAAAGGAGAGAGGGTGGGGAAGAGAGACGTTGGCCCACAACACGGTGCTTGCTAATTCGAATGAGAAGCTCCCCCCAGGGACTGTTTCTTGATCTGCCCTTGCTGTTCTTGCTAATTGTCGGCAAGCGGAATGAGCGCAGGACTCCCTGTGCATGAGTATACTATTTTTGTGTCTTAAGCTCAGCCCGAACAAGACCTATGAGGACTTTTGCAGTGCCTTGATTCAATTTATCTTATCTTTTTGTTTGATTTGACGAATTTGGTATTGTGCTGAGTGAGTGAGCATGGGAAGTTTCAGTTACGTCTCCCCATAAGATGGATTTCCACTCCTGGGGGCCAGCAGCTGCAGCCCTACAAGTCTGCAAGAAACTTCATCCGAGAGCGTCCACCCAAGAGACGGGGCATGCCCTCATTCCCTCCCCTGTTTTTCGGCCTACATCAAACATTCCTCACTAGGGTTTCAGTTTTTGTTCTGGCCCTCCTCCAGTGTCTCTGACAATTAGAGCAGAGCCGTCCAACCTTTTTGGACTCGTGTTGCAATTTAGGAATCTGAGAAACTGTTCTGGACACCTCTGCAGAATGCCAGATCAGTAGACCACTGGTCTGGTGTCTTCCGGCAACTTCTGTGGATCACAGGCTGCGTCTCATTCATCAAGAACTTCAATTTTATGCCTCTTGGATACCACAACCTTAGTGGACGGGCGGCATATCCCTTAGAGGACAGGCGGGAGGGCTCCTGGGAGGGTCTCGTGCGCACTGGGGGATTCCTTGTGCATACACCGCAAGCCCGTAAGAAGCTCCTCCGTGCACCCCCATGGCTGCAGTTCCGCTGACATGCACGAGCAGCCCTGTCAGGCCGCAGCCCACCCTCCCCGAATCCTTGGCAGCCCTCCCTGATGGATGGGCTTACCACCCAGTTGGCACTAAATTACCACCAATTATCCAGGGGTTCAGCTGCTCTGCTGGCCAATTAACCAGCCACCTTTATTTGCTTTTCCCGTGATGAATAGCCCGAGAGGCAGGGAGAGAAGAGATGCAGGCGTCTCCGCTGCCGGGCGCGGCATTCTGTCCGCTTCCAGAGAACTTGGGTCACCTGCTTTCCCTGGCAGCGCTGAGCACAAGAGTGGTGTGTGGGCCCTCCCGGGGCTGACAGGAAGCAGGCTTTTCACAGTGCACAGGATTGGACCGTGCCACCAAAATCCGCACCATCTTGGCCGAGCTCTGTGATGCAGCATCCGCCTGGTGCGCAGACCGTTCCAGGGAGCATCTGCCGCAACTCTGCTCCAGGAATGTAGGAAGAGGCCATCCAGAGACCTAAGAAAGCCCCTGGGAATGTGCTGGACTGCAATGCCCATGATTCCCAGCCAGCACGGCCAGAGGCCTGGGATTGTGGGAATTGCAGTGCAAAACATGTGGAAGGCATTCGGTGTGTACAGACTTTCGCCAAGGGAGTCGCTTGTGTACCTAAAGGGAGCTCCCCCACGGCGTCACTGCCTCGCACCAGAAGCCGTCCACTCAGGCCCAGAAGACAGGCTGCGCATTTTTGATACGCAAGATGTGTGAACCACCCAGAGAGACTTTTCTTGCCGAAGGGACAGTATAGAAATTGGGTGGATGGATGGATCTCCCCCAGCAAAGGAGAAATACTGGTTTTACTTCATGTCCTGGTTCGTGCATGCAAGCACTCCGCGGCTAAGAAAAAGCAACGCCTTCTGCAAGGCTCGGCGGCGGGGGAGGGCTCCAGCTCACAGGCTGCCCGGCCTGTGTGGGTGGGCATCCATGCAGTGATGCCACATGGTCCTGGCATGAACAGAAATGGAACTCTGGGGCAAAGGCTGGACCATGTTTCGTAGCATGCGAGTTTCCCATATGCAGGGCATTCTCCAGGTGTGCATGTGAGCACCGAAATATGCGATGGCGCATTTGTGCTCAGGAGAAGGCCGTCCGGGCAAAGCTGTAGCAAGCAATTCTTGCATGAACTGCAACCTGGCAGTTCATCGCTGCTTCATTGCTAGTGTGGCTGCTGGCATTCTTTCTGTGTTTGTGGATCTGCCTTCTATCGGTGGGTTGGACAGAGCGAGTCAGAAGGGGTCTCGCAGGCCATCTAGTCTGACCCCCGGCTCCAGCTGGCTCCGCTCACGGCATGCCCACCATGTGCACGTCCAGCCTATCCTTGAACACCCGCACCGATGGGGCCCCAACCACCTCTGTGGAAGCCCATTCCACACCTTCGGGGTCCTGACTGCCAGGAAGTGCTTCCTGGCATCCAAATGGAGCCTTGGCTCCCTGAGCTTTGCTCTGTTGGAGTGCGTCCTGCCTTCCTCTGCAGGGGAGAACAGGTCCCTACCCACCTCCGTGTGACACCCCCTCACGTACCTGTATGTCGCCAACAGATCCCCTCTGAGTCTCCTCCTCTCCAGGCTGAAGAGACCCAGCTCCCTCAGTCTCTCCTCATATGGCTTCACCTGCAAACCAGCCACCAACCTAAATAGTGGAGTTCCGTTGATTATCAATAAATCAAGTACTAAATGTGGGGGAATTCAGGGGATCACCTCCCATTGTAAAAGCTCCGGGCTGGAGTAATTGCCACAGGCAGCGTTTGCTGCATGATTTGGAGTCGGGGTATATTTGGGGCCCTCTTAGGGGGCGTCACAGCATAAAGCATTTGCTCCAGGCCCGTGAGTCTTCTCTCGCGGTGCTTGGCCAGTGCCGGCCTCGCACGCCGTCCCCCGAGCCCTCTCCCCTACTTCGCAGGCCTTCCCCCGTTTTTCCTTTTCTGGAGAGGGGAAGGTGTCGTTTCATCTAGGAACGGCCGAATGAACCGGAGATTGCCCCAGGTATAGCACAGCGCCACCTTGAGGTTGGGCAATGGAATACATAGGAAGGCAGAGACAGAAAAAACGGAAAGAACCCCAGTAAAGAGGCCAGTCTTAGCACTGGAAGGATCCAGAAGCCCTGCTAACACAGCGGGTCAAAAGCCTCGTGTAAAGAGACCTTCAAAGCCTCGCCTCCGCCGTCCCCTCTGGGGCCGCTGCCATAAACCGTGCTTTGTCTCCCTCCAGGACCTGCTGAAGCACACCCCCGAGGACCACCCCGACCACCCCTTCTTGCTCGAAGCCCAGCGGTATATCAAGCAAGTGGCCGAGAGGATCAACAAAGGGATGAAGAGCGCTGAGGAGGTGGAGAGGAACGCCCGCATCGTGCAAGAGATCGAATCCCATATCGAGGGGATGGAAGACGTAAGTGCTTTCCAGGCCCCTGGAGAGTGGGCGTCCCCGGCTTCGTGCGCGTGCGTGTCAGCATCTGTGTGTGCGTGCAGGCATTTGCGAAAAGATGTGTTACCCGTCAGAGCAGAGTCCGTGCAGCCCAGCTTTCTATCCACACAGTGGTCAAACCGCTGCGCCCAGGAAATCCACGGCACGGGCCGGGGCGTAGCATTCCCCTCCCACCCGGGTGCTTTACTTCCGACTAGCTCAAGATGTAAGCCTGTGCACGCAGAGAGAGAACTACACTTCCCATCGTGCGCCGTCCCGCAGATCTGGGAGGCGTGGGACATTTCTGTGCCAGACACGCACCCGTTGTGCCTCATCACTGTGGCAAAGGAGAATTCTGAGCGGGACCTGCTGGGAGGAGAATTCTGCATTGTGCCCCCGTGCCCGTCGTTGTGCCAAGGAGCACGTGGACTGTTTTCTGCTGGAGAGGAGAGGATGTGAGGAGGGAGGGAGGACGGTCCTTTGAGGGGGGCGCTGCACACGCCCTGCCCTCTGGGCTCCAGGGCGCCTCGGCCCCGTGGAGGACTCGAGAGTCGCGATACTGGAAAGGCTGCATGACCGGGGAATGGAAGCCCGTTGCTCGTATTAAATTGCTTCCTGCCTTTCTGTGGTGCTTTCTGCCAAAGCACTCAGAGTGATCCACGTTTTTGTAATAGCGGCTGGCAGCCCAAAGCGAAGGGGGCGCCCCCTCTTCCTTTATCTTGATGTGTCTTCTGGTCCTCTCCAGCTTACGGTGACCCTCCAAAATGCCCAGTCCGTGGCTTCCCTGCTTAGCTGTTCTAAATTCAGGGCCGGTCTTCCTTGTCTTCTCCCGCCTTCGGCTTCCCTCGTACCATGCTCTCCTCCAGGGAGTCCTGCCTTCCCGTGGTGCGCACCAGGTGAAACAGCCTCAGCTTGGTCAGCTTTGCTTCCAAGGAGAGCTCTGGCTTGACTTGATCCTAGATCGGCCCGCAGGTTGGCCTTCCTGTCAGTCCAGGGTATGGTCAAAGCTGTCCCCCAGCACTGGGCTTCCAGCCCACCGGCTTGCTCCTGTCGGTTTTCTCAGTGCTGGAACGTTCTTGGAGGCAGGAGAGGAACCCAGTAGCACTGGCAGAGGGGCCCTGCTCGCCTTTCTCTCCCTCGACTGCAGCCGCCCCCCAGCTGGTGGCCCAGACGTGTTGGAGTACAGCCTCGGCACCCCAACACGTCTGGAGAGGAGCAGATGGGGAAGCTGCCTTACTCTAGCCAAGTGTCCCCCTTTCCCAAGCCTACGATGTTGGGTGGGCCGAAGGAAAATGTAATGGAGGTGGGTGAATGTGAAGACTAGCCTTCTTTCGTAAACAGAGTGGACTAGGGAAACCGCCACGGGCAGGTTTGGCTACGTGACTGGCAGGGACCGAATCGTGCAATTAGAATATCTCTAGGGAGCATTTAGTCTCGTTGCAGTGTAGCAATTTGGAAATTAGGGTTATAATCTCAATTTCCTGTCTTTCCAGCTTCAGGCCCCACTGCGGCGGTTCTTACGCCAGGAGATGGTCGTGGAAGTGGTAAGCACTCTTTGTTCTTGGACGGCATAACCCACGGAGCAGTCCGTGTGAGTTGAGGCAGAAGGAAAGGCCTCCGTGGGACTGAATCCCCAGTCATTTTAATTTTCAGACAGCAGGCACCTCTGTATGAATTGGGGTCGGTGCCATCCGCAAAAGCTTTGGTTACAAATCAAACATGACTCCGGATGAATGGGCAAATCTGACGTTCCGTCCAGCGCCTGCAGGAGCGCCAGCCGGCTCTTTCCCAATTAATTGGCAAATCTGGAGTTCTGTCCAACCCCTGCAGAGGAGCCAGCTGCCTTTCCTTGTGCTTGACTGAACGAGACACTTAAAAACTGGGTTTTCCTTCCCATTATCCTTAAAGGGGGAAACCAGCATGGCCGGGAGAAGGCATGACGCTCCTGGTCTCTTAAGCAGGGTGAAGAGACTGGGAGAGAGTCATGCATCTCCAGTGCCTCTCCAGTGCCTCTCCAGTGCATCTTTCCTGTCCTCCACCCATGGTTACCACTTCCAGTTGTGCCAACATTAACCATGGTTACCACTTCCGCTTGTGCCAACATTAACCACGTTTAGACCAAAGCTGGCATTCCCCACTAAACTTTCCTAACCAATTTCAAACTCAGGGTTTTATGTTCTGGTTGAGATGAGAAGCATTAACTGTCGTGAAGGCTGTTGAAGGGAGGATGAAGGGACCACCTGGTGAGGGGGGGGTGCAGGCCTGGAGCTGCCCCCCCCTCCTGACCAGCACCCCTCTTCTAGCACTTTGGTGTTCCTGCTGACCATAAGAACCAGAAGGAAGAGAGGCAGCGGTGTTGGTTTGATAGCAGATTTCTGCGCTCCCCTCCCCTCCCCTCCCCTCCCCTCCCCCCCCACATACATGAACAAGGAGATCCAATGCTTCTCCTCATGGTTTGCAGCAAGGAGCAGTTTCCAGTTTTCTTCAAATTTGGGAAATTGCCCTTTTTGCAAATCAAAGCTTCTTCCGGAAGCATTCTGGGATCTGCAGTTGAAGAAAAGAAGCAAAGAAATTATCTGTTGGTGTGCCTGAGCAAAGCTGAATTCTGTAATCTTTGCCCATTATGCAAATGGAGCGATTGTGCATGATTCCTCTTCCTTAACATAATTTATTCTTCCTTTTAATGAGTGTGCACACTTTTTCCATCCTGGAACACTGAAACCCTGCCTCCCAACCCCTGGAAGTTTCCTTAAGCCCTGTTTGAGATTTCAGCCCCTTGTTGCAGTAAGAAAAGCTAAAAATGAGATTTTTAGCAAAATGATAGCTGAGATTCTCTGCACCCTAAATTCTGCATCCCGTGGTTCCTTGGATTTCCCAGACAATCAGCGTGTTCACACAGCCCTGGGCCTTGCATGGCCGCTTGCGTGTGTTGATTAGACGTCTTGGTCCCTCTCCTGATCATGTTTAGAGGTTCATCACCATCATCATCATCTCTTTGGGCAGTTCCAACGGCATCAGCCAAGCAGTCCCCCCACCCCACCCCGCCCTCAGTGGACGAACGTCTTGTCCACGTGCCCTCAAAGCATCCTAGGGCTCTTAAGAGGAGGCGGCAAATCAAAATCCCTCAGCCGCATCTCGCTGCCAGGCATTTCCATGGCAACCTGGGAGCAGGGGACCACAAAGCGCATGCTGGATTTGGGCTTGGCCGGCGCTCCCTCCCTCCCTCCCTCCTGTCCTGGGTCGCCTTAAGAGCTAAACGCTGGGCAGGCATCCAGCTCTCCAGGTTGTGGAGTTGCGCCAGCACGCGAAATGCCCAGATGCAGAACGTGCAAAATGGAGGACCGCCCGCCGTGTGTTACAAGCCCCTCCGCTCTGTGCTGTGACAGGAAGGAGTAAAGGCCTGCTAATTGGAAGCCACATTTGAAAAGACAGAACAGAAGCACCGTTTTAAAACATGCAATTCCTTAGTAACCCTATTAATTACATGGATTTTAGCAGAATTAAGTGCAATTACGCCATTGTTATACTCTCCATGGTTGTCAGCAAGGTTTATTACCCAAGTCACACAACAAGATGATGATAAACTGTGGTACAGTGCGGGTCTTTATTGCCCTCTGGTGGCCAGGGAAGGCGTTGCAGCCAGTGGCCCTGACCCGCCACACTTGCGGCATCCTGCAGGGGAAAGTAAGCGATAGAATGTCCATCAACAATCCCACCTCTGGGGCGAGTGAAAGGGCAGTTTGGCCAAGTGCAGTCCTTCACTGAGCATGTTGGAAAGGAGAGGGGGTGCACCATTGTCCAAGGAAGGGATCGTGGAGGGGCCAGGCCGCTGGAGGAGGGGCAGGGGGCCCACACGGCGCCTTAAGAGTATGGGACCGAGCGATGGACCCTTGAGGGAAGGGTGAGTGGAGGAGGCGATGAGGGGAAGCAGCCCAGGGGACAGGCAGCGGAGGGGTCGCCTTGCACAAGGCCCAGGCGCAGGTCGGCCCGTGCGCTGGTTGCTTGAGCACACGCGTGGGCGAGAGAGGAGATGGAGCGGGGCGGTGCTGGTCCAGTTCTAAGGGCCAGCCAGATGCTGGCTGCAGGTCCCCAGCCTGCCCCGAGCTGGGCTCCCTGGCCCTCTCCCTCTCCATTATCCTCACCAGAGCCCTGTGGGGCGGGCCCCGCAGAGAGCCGGCCGCACCTCCCTCGTCCCAGCCCCACCTTCCACCCCCACGCCGCGTGGGCTCTCGCCCGCTGCCTTCCCTCGGGTGCTCAGCATCCTTGCTGCTCCTTGCTGAGCAGCGGGCGATGCCGCGGTCTCGTGCGGAGCGGATGCTCCCTCGGAAAGGTGCCACCCCGTTGCTGTGGGCACGGAAAGGCAGGCCCTGCGTGTTGAGTCGCAGAGCCGCCTCATCCTGCTCAGCTGCTTTCGGCCCCTCGAACTGGGTCTGTTTCCATTTTGCCTGCCTCACACGTACCTCCCGTAGCCCAGGGCCACAGGGACAGTCCTGACGGCCCTTGCTCCCTTCGCCAGCTCCAGATCAGAGGGAAGCTGTCAGGGGCCCTCCGGTACGCTTTGCCCAGGTCACTGTCCCCACCTGTGCCTGGTGGGCAGCCGCCGCTGTGGTTTCCTGATGATGTTCTGAAGCAGCCCCCCGTCAGGCACTCCAGGGCATTGTGGGAGAATAAAAATGGCGGGTGGCATCCCCTTCGCTGCTGGGAAGCCCTGAGCCAAACGATAGGGCTGGAAAGCAGCCCTGAGCGGTCCGCTGGGGTTTCTCTCCTCTCCGCTGGGCAAGGCCGTCCCTCTCCCTGCCCCCCCAGAGGGCTTCGCACCGTGCCTGGGGCCCTCGGGGTTCCTACCCCCCCCCCCGAAGGTGACTCAGCCAGTGCCAGGAAGGCGATAACTAGAAGAATTCCCTCCGGGGGGGATCTCTGCAAGGGGCCAGGCTGCATGGACCAGCCCTGTTGGGCGTTCTGCAGAACAGATCGTGGCTGGATTCGGCCCAAGCGCTGGTGCTTCTGCAGCCCTGGCCGAGAAGGACAGCTTTCTTAATGAAGTTGCAGGAAAACCCAGCTCAGGTCCTTGTCCCTTCCCAGGTGCACAGGTTTCCGGCACGGTCACAGAGGAGGGCTCGCGGCATGCTATCCTTAACCCCTGGCCTCTTGCAGCTACGGAGAACCTTATTCTCTCCCCGTAAAAGCGAGGTGCTCCCCATTCTGATGGGGCAGGGGAGCTGCTTGGAAGAAAAGCTCCCCTGCCACCGGATCTGGATCGCTCCCAGCTGACGGTGTCCGTGTCTCGTTGCAGAAGGTTGCCGGGGGCAAGAAGGACCGCTCCCTTTTCCTCTTCACAGACCTGCTGGTTTGCACCACTCTGAAGCGCAAGTCAGGTTCCCTACGGCGCAGCTCCATGAGCCTGTAAGTGAACCACCCCAAAACCAACCTCCTGGGCACGAGCCCACGGGCAGTGGGGTGCGGGACGAGAGCCGGGCGAGGGCGACCTCCTGCTTGGACACCCAGTTGGGGCCGATTTGTATCCCTACGCTTTGACCGCTCAGCCATGTGCATTTCCCCGAGAGCGGAGCCGCAACCTCCCTCCCTGGGAAGGCCCTGGACTTGTGAGCTCAGTGGGTGTGTAGGGTTGTGCGTTGCCCCTGTTGACTCGCTTCCCCAACGGGGATTTGTGCAAGCAGATCCCGCCACAGGGCCGTGATGGCTTGAACCCATGCCTCGGGTGCAGGCTTCGAAGGAATCGGGCGACCACTTATGTCCCAGGCACCTCTGCTTAAAGATGGCCCGGCAAGGGAGTGGTCTTGCAATCCCCTGGCCAGCAATGCCGTGCTCACCCTCCAGGCAGCATTTTTATTTATTTTTTATTTAAAACATTTTTACCCAGTCCTTCCCGGTAAAATGTCTCAGGACAGCTTACAATAATTAAAACAGTAATAATAATAATAAAATTACAATCAGCAGTAATAATCACCATAAATAACAAATGAATAAATAAATAGCATTTGTAATTCAGCAACACAAAAAGAAAACGCAACTAATATCAAAAGCATCTAAAATCCTTAGTCCTTAAAATGATGGCTAAATAAAAACAGAAATGAAAAGGTTTTTACTGGGCGCTGAAAGAGTTTAAAGTCAGCGCCAGGTGAACCTCTCTGGGGAGCGCATTCCAGCTGGCATTCCAGCTGCAGCTGGCAGAAGAGAGGACCCCCGAACCCCAAAATCCAGCCCAACAAAGGGCCAGCCCCAAAAGCAAGCCGAACCTGCAAGAAATGCATGTCTTCCAGAGGGAAGAACGAAAACATGAGACAAGCTTGCTTGCAAGAGAATATGAACCCCAAAAAGCTGAGAAAGCGAGTGACTTTTGGGGGCCAGTTGAAAGCTAGAGGCCCCTTGTAAACTATGCCAACAGGGCCACCTAGTGGCTGTGTTGAGACTTGCCGTGCAAGATGCCTCGGCTCTCAGGCGCCCGATTTGCCTTCCAGCTATACGGCCGCCAGCGTGATCGACACGGCCAGCAAGTACAAGCTGCTCTGGAAATTGCCCCTGGAAGACGTGGACATCGTGAAAGGTTTGTGGTCGTGCCACGTGGCTCACGGTGGCCGGGCGGGAGTGGGGGGCCCTTAGAAGGAAACGAGGAGTTTGCATCCCCCTTCGGAACCCACTCAAACCCAGTTGTCCCGACTCCAGCCTGGCAGCTGGGAGCTCCAGAACCGAGCCTGGGTGGGCGTCATCTGCACTGCGGGTATGATGGACTTTCTGGGGTGGGGACCTGGCCCAGCTGCTCTCTTTGTCTTCTCAACCCCCTAAATTGTAATAAATGTTCAGGCTTCTTAAAGCCAGTCCAAAGGCCATAACCGTTGCAAAATGCTGTCGGCCAGGGTGGCTGCACCCCGGTCTGACAGGCCCCGTATGATGCAGCGTGTGATTTCCGCCTGGCTGCAGGGGCATCGCAGTCCACCAACCGCGAGAGCATCCAGAAGGCCATCTGCCGCTTGGACGAAGACCTCAGCACCCTCGGACAAGTCAGCAAGCTTTCGGAGGCCCTCAGCTTTCCTCATCAGGTGAACGTGGTCCCCTCGGAGGGGCGGGGAGATCCAGGTGCCCAGGAAAAATACAGCCGCTTGAAAACTAGCCAAGGGCCTTTATCTAAGTAACGGTGCAAAAAATCAACCCTAAAACGGCACGTAGGGTGTTTTGGAAACTCAGCAGCTATCTAAATGCACCAAGAGAAGGTTCCTGTTGGTTCCCACGGAGGAGAGAATTCCGCTGCTAGGGAGCCACCGCCTCGGAACCCTGCGATCAGAGAGCTGCTGCAGATCGCTGATACAAAACATCGCCCCATCTGAAAGCGTAATCATGCCAAGTAACTGACAGAAGTCCTGTTATTTTGAGAAGGCAAACCGCTCTCTGAATCTGTGCACGCGTGTGTGGCCGGAGGGAATCTGGGGAAGATTCTGTGCGTTGCAGAGTGTCCTTCTCTGATTCTCACATGCGCTTTGCTGCCTGTGCTTGAGCCACAAGGCAGCATAACTGTGGCGCAGCTCCAGCAGAAGAAGAGTTGGCGTCCGGGGCCAGGAGGCCCGATCGTGTCAAACGGGGCCTCCTCGGTTCCTTTAGGAAGTGGAGGGCCGCTGTATCGGACCTCTGAACATGTGCAAAACCACCAAGGTTTCGCCATGCAAATTACACTGATACAGAGAAGATGAATGATTAATTAACAAGAGTAGGTTTGTCGGAGTCGCAGTTCATGACCAGCCCACTCGTCCTGTCCCATAAACTGACCAATGTGGCGTTTTGGCAACATCCCCATTAAAGGTGGCCCTGACCCCAGAGCCCCAGGCCCAGTCGGGTTCCGATGAGCGATAGGGTCCTTCGAGTAGCAAGGCCTGGACTGTCCCTCCTGGGAAACAAGGACCAGAAATGCCCATCCCAAAAAATGGCTGGCAAACACCATTTCTCCTGCCCTGTTACGCCTTATTCCTTTTATTTATTTTCTTATTTATTTATTCCGTTTGTATACTGCCCTGGACTCTCTGGCTCCCTGGACAGTTTACAATGATTAAAATCACAAATACGACACAGAAAATACCCATAAAGACAGTATGAACAATAGAATCATAGAATGCTATGAAACTTGTAATATGACAACCAGCAGCCATGGCAGCAATTTGAAGCCATGTTTAAAATTGGCTCAGCAGTAAGACACATGGGCTTACTCCTTGGCCGTCATAGTGACTTCAGAGTTGCCGGATCTCAATCCCACCGTGGCAGGAGAAGCAAAATTCCCCTCTTACGCGATCCAGGCAGGATCATGCGAGGCCCTTGCCACGTCCCAGCAGCGTCCCCATCAATCAGCTGGAGAAATGTGGGGAGTCAGGGCCCTGTTTCTCTGATGACGCGCCCATCCTCCCTAAAGCGTGGGGCGCCCCCCCCCCTAACGCCCGTGCCTCTCTGCGTGCCTCAGAACCTGGACGATGTCATCAAGGACCTCATGGCCTCCATCCACCGCGAGCTGGCCGAGAAGCAGTCGCTGTCATTCTCCATGTCCTTTCCGCCCAACAAGATGGAGCTGACCGCCACCAAGGCCGACGGCACCGAGTCGTACATCTTTGAGTTCCCCAATCCGGATGCGCGCCATAGCTTTGAGCAAGCCTTTGAGGACACAAAGAAGAAATTAGGTAACACCCCTTGTTCTTCTTCGTGGTCTCCGAGCGATCACACACATGGGCTTTGCCACGCGGCGCAAGGCCCAGATCGGATAAAACTTCCAAAGCTCAGCGTCACAGGGTGAGTGGTCCCCACCCTGTCCTTTCAGGAGGTCCAGATGGCGTGGGGGGGGGGGGGCTCCAGTTGACAAGTGCTTCCCAGACCAAGGAGTGAGGACAGGGTTGGATGTACCTGCCACTCCCCCTAAAATCCCTGCACATGGAAACATAGCAGGCCGAGGCCTAAAATCCTTGCACATGGAAACATAGCAGGCCGAGGCCTAAAATCCCTGCATATAGAAACATAGCATGTCAAGGCATAGGCCTGCCTACATTCCTCAACCCTGACATGCCAGTTATTTATCATCGTTATTATTCTTTATTTCATTTCTGCGCCTCCCCACAACCAGCGCTCATTTTCCATGTGCAGGAACCATGGGTGTTTTTGAAATGGAGCAGCATCTCCCCTTCTGAGCCGTATGAGAATTGGGCTTTAGGGATGGCTCCCAACAGAGAGGTTTAATTTGCAGTCCTCTTCCTGGTCTTATTCCTGCCCAACTAAAACACCCCCAGGCACGGGCTGGTCTGATTCTGCTCCCTCGTGGCTGGACACACTGGGGTGCCGGCACAGCTAGTGCTTCTTTTCCAGCGAGGTGCATTCTCAACGGGTGGAGATTCAAAGTAGGTGAACAAGAGGCAAGGCTTAAGTCCCCCTCAGATGGCTCTTTTGCTGTCATTATGCACCCTGTGTGGGCAGTTAAATTTTTGCAAACATCCCGTGATACCAAAGCAACTCATCCGATGGTCACAGAGAACCAAATTGCAATCCAGTGGCAAAGAGCCACCATTACGTCCATTCGTTTTCTTGCTTCCATCTCCAGCTTCCAACAAAAATTGCCTGGATCCGGAGTTTCTGAAGGCGATCCCCATCATGAAGACCAGGAGCGGCATGCAGGTAGGTGCAAGATGAGGAAATCCAGTTCCGATGGTCAGCCTTCGCTCCCTGGCCACTGTTTCCGCAGGAGGCTGTGCAGCGTGAGGATTGCAGACGGTTTGGGGGGCAGGCGCCAAGCTGGGGAAGGTGGCGCCGTGCCGTGCGCGGGGCCTCCCAGCTGGGAAGTCGCGCGGGGTGGGCACGGCCCCTGTGCGTGGCATTCAAGCGCGAGGCCGTCTGCCTTGCTCCCCGCCAGTTCTCCTGCGCCTCTCCCAGCCACAGCAACCCCGAGAACGCCCACGAGGTCTGGGTGTGCAACAGCGACGGGTACGTGGGGCAGGTCTGCCTGCTGAGCATCCAGAAGGAGCCGATCGTGGAGGCCTGCATCGCCGTGTGCTCGGCCCGGATCCTCTGCATCGCCTCGGTGCCGGGCCTGAAGAGGGCATTCCGGTAAGGTGGGCCAGCGCACAGGCAGGAGGGCCGCGCCACAGCCCCCACGCCCTCCCACCCGCGTCCCCGCAGAACGGGTGCCCGTGGGCATGCAGCCTCTGATCCCGGAGGTGGCGCGTGGCCCTCAGGATCAGCTGAACCCCCTTTCACACCATCCGGATTGGGGACCATCGCGGCATCTTGTGGGAATGAGCCCCATAGCTTGGCTGTGCGGGAAGCCTCAGCTCTCCAGGAGGACCCCTTTGGGGCCACGTGTTATGGGAGGGGGAGAGAGATGCCTGCCTCTCACTTGCCCCATGGGGCGCTGAATGCCACCCGTGCCCGGCCCTGCCTTCCCAGCTGTCATGGCCTGTCCTCACAGTGCAACTGCCGAGCCTGCGAGCCTTTTGGGGGGCACTTTTTCTGACTCTGCGGTGTCCCTTTTTAGTCTGACCCTGGCTCCAGCTGGCTCCGCTCACGACATGCCCACCATGTGCATGTCCAGCCTGTCCTTGAACACCCGCACCGATGGGGCCTCAACCACCTCCCGTGGAAGCCCATTGCACACCCTCGGGGTCCTCACTGTCAGGAAGTGCTTCCTGGCATCCAAATTGAACCTGGGTTCCCTGAGCTTTGCTCCATTGGAGCGCATCCTGCCTTCCTCTGCAGATCTGATTCAGCGTCAGGCAGAGCTTCGTGCCTCCGTCAGGGCCCTTTGTGAGTCCCCCATCCCACTTCAGCAAGTTGGCATCCTTCGCTCCGCTGTGGTTAGAAGCCGAGCGACACGATCAGCCAATTCACGGGGCCTTCCAATCCCAGAAGGCTCGGACGCCAGGAAGGAGGCATCCTTCCTCAGTCCCCCCGCGATCCTGCCGATGGGGACGCTGCTCTGCAGCCTTCGCAGCACCTGCCGCCCCGGTGTGTGCTTTGGCGCAGGATGAGACCCCGTAACCATGCTTCTCTCTCTCCCCCGCATCCCGCACATCGCCCTGCCCAGGGAGCGCCCCGTGTCCCTGGCCAGCCCGGCCTCGGAGCCTGCACACGCAGCCCTGGAAGAACCGGTGCCGCAGCAGTGCCTGCACATCTCCATTTCTGGGTCCTCTCTGGAGCTCTCGGAGCCGGTCGACAGCGCCCACCGGGAACTTGTTCCCTTTGACAGCGACGACACCGATGAGGAGTCCTCACCCAGTCCGTCCGGCACCCTTCAGAGCCAGGCCAGCCACTCCACCATCTCCTCCAGCTTTGGAAGTGAGTTGTCTGGGCAACGCCTGGCCCATCCCTTGGGGAGTCTTTGCGTGCGCACAATGAGGACTAGGAGCTTGCCCAAAGCCAGGGTCATCCCATCTCCCCCATGACCCATGCCCTTTGTTGCTGAATTTTCTTTGACCCAACCATCTTCCAAACCCAACTCTCTGTCTTTTAGGAGCAAATTGGATTAACAGATTAATTTCACCGCATCTTGAGCACGTTGTTAAGAAATGCTTAAACACAGAAATAGGCTTCTATTACCCTTCCCTTCCTAAGAAACACATTTTTATAAGCTGCAAATGACCAGAGATAGTTAACTCAATAGCAGCTTTTGCTTACTTGGCTCACAGTAATAAAAAAAAAAATATTTTTTACATGGAATATTAGGGCTCTGTTCTTAGAGACAATACATATATTCTGAGAGAAAATTGGCATTTAGATATGTATTGAAATATTCATATTGAGAAGTAAAGAATTAATGGATTAATGTGAGCTGAGATTATGGATAAAACATGAGAAAGTTGCACCAGTCAGAAATAGAGAGGTTTTGCATCGGGTCACAGGAATTCCCAGATGGACTCCATCCGTTTTTCTCTGGTCACCCATCTTTTGATGAAGTCCTGGGTTTTGTGCAGTATTTTTTCCATTCTATTATTTTTTTATAATAAGTTTTATTCAAAATAACCCTAAAACAAAAGAAAACTAAAAACAACACCCATCATCAGAAACATCAGACCTGCTGGGTCAGCCCCCACATTTTTTTCTATTTATGATAACTTAAAAACATATTTACATCTATACGAAGTCCTGTTTCTCTAGCCAATTATCTGTATTTTTCCCATTCTAAAAGTCCAAAATGCCTCTCCAAAGACAGTTTCTAGTAGGAAAACCTGTAAGCTAAAATATGCAGGAATTCTTTGCTTCTTTTGCCCCTCTTTTTTGGGGGGGGGGGGGCAGTCCCTTTTGTCTTCCTCTTTTCCCCATTGTCTCCCTACAATATTTCTCCCAAATGTTGGCCCTCGGGATGAAAGAAGCTCAGAACCTCCTGGTTTAGTCCCATTTTTATGAGCGTTCTTTAAAATGATGCCACAATGACATGTAACAGCAAATAATTTACAAATTTAGTTCACCATATCGTATTGGCAGCATATACTGTTTTTGCCTGGTGCAAGAAAGAGAGTGATGTTTGCAAATCTTTCCAGGGAACGTATTCCATAAATGGGGGCAGCCACCGAAAAGACCCTTCTTCCGTTTGCAATCCCTCGCACCTCCTTGAGGGATGGCTCAATTAGAAGGACCTCTTGTCCAAATCTTATTAATTTTATTATTTATTTATTTGGAGAACTTCTATGCCACCCCATTCCTATAAGCCTCGGGGCGGCTTCCAATCATAAATAAATAGAATCCATACAAATGCATAAAATACTGGAGACACCCTGGCTAAATTTTAAAATCAATAAATAACATCAACAATTAAAATAACATTTAAATAAAAAGGTCTTGGCCTGGCACTGAAAAGCAAATAACGACGGCACCAGGCGGACCTCTCTGGGGAGCGCATTCCATAGATGGGGCGCCACCGCAGAGAAGGCCCTCCTCCGGGTACTCGCCCTCCTAATACCTTTCACGGAGGGTTCCTGGAGAAGGGCCTCTGCCCCCGATCTCAAGGGGCAGGAGGGGCAGATATGGACACAGGCACTCCTTAATGGGTGGGTAGGTAGAAGTGGGAACCGTCAGTCCTGAAATTGTCCCATTTTCACTTTCACTGTGGTGAAGAAAGCTTACGTCCAAGTAGAAGGCATGGCATTTTAACCCAGTAATTTCATGATTAATGGGGTGAATTTTCCAGTTGCCCCATGCCATCAAGTCGCCTCTGACTTAGGGTGACCCTATGGATTTAAGCTCTCCAAAATGTCCTGCCCATGAAGGCCTCCTCAGCAGTTGTAAATTCAAGGATGTGGCTTCTTTTTATGGGACTGACCATATTTGGTTGTCTTCTTTCAAGTTCGACTTTCCTGAGCTGGGTTTCCATCAGGGAGTCTGGGCTTCCCATGATTGTCCAAAATGTGACCGCTTCAGTTTTGCCATTTTTGCTTCCAGGGGAAGTTCTGTCTCGATCCAATTTAGGACCCGCTGGTTCTTCTTTCTGATGAACTGCAATAGTTTTGAAAAACAAGTTACGATAAGCTTCCAGGCAGAGGCCATCTCTTTAATTTTAATTTCTGAGTTCAGAAGTAACATAGAAACAGAGAGAGTTAGAAGGGGTCTCCCAGGCCATCTAGTCTGACCCCAGGCTCCAGCTGGCTCCACTCACGACATGCCCACCATGTGCATGTCACATAGATCCATCGTGAGCTGGAAAAATGCTTGTGAACCTCAGTCCATATTTTATGCATATTTGCTGTGCTAATAAATGCAGTTCCTAGAAGATCTCTGCCTGGAAGTCACGTGTTTCTGTCTCATCCGGCAGATGAGGAGATGCCGAGCTGTAAAGATGCGACAGCTGAGACCACCAGCTCCGAGGAAGAGCAGGACCCTTCGGGCTTCCTTCCCGTCGCCCCCACCTTTGCCCAGAATAGAAACAGCGAGAGCCCCATGGACGGGCGGGCGATGCGGCGGTCGAGCCGAGGGTCGTTCACCAGGGGCAGCCTGGAAGACCTGCTGAGCATCGACCCCGAGGCCTATCAGAGCTCCATGTGGCTGGGGACCGAGGACGGCTGGTAGGTGACCAGGCCCTGGCACTGGTTCGGAGAATGGCCTCCTTTCCCCTCCCCAGCTGATAGGTCAGAAGCACGAAGCAGGCTCTCAAGCTGGGCTGCTGCGTGGTCACGGAATGTTCCAAGACATTCTCCCACGCAGAGGGAAGGAGCAGCCGCTGAACCCCGAAAACCAAAACGGCCTCGCTCCAAAGAAGCTGCATTTCACTAGTAGTGCATGCCAGGTCGGCCCCTCTGGTGGCCGCTGAACCAGGCGGCGCCTCACGCCTCTCCATTCTTTCTGCGTTGCAGCATCCACGTCTACCAGTCCTCAGACAATATCCGCAACCGGAAGAATAGCATGAAGATGCAACACGCAGCCTCCGTGACTTGCGTTTTGTAAGTGTCATGCTACTGTACTTGGGGTGCACTCAAACACAGACTGTAGCAGTAGGCCAAGACGCCAGCTTCCTGAAAGCTGCCTGGGTTTCAGTTGTGTTTTAAATCAAGTTTCTAGTCCATATGGTTGAAGATGCATGCAAAGTTCAAAGGTGGCCCAATGAGATTTGCAAGTGATGGTGACTGTAGGTGCTCTGCCCCTTGTATGACTAGCCAAACCAGAATATATTTTAAGAAATAAATGAAATTATGCACTTGGATTTTTGTATCAAGGAGCATTCAGTCCTGTGAAGCCTAGCCTTCTGTTAAAAGGTTGCAGCCTGAATACAGGTAAACTACCTCTGTGCCTGTAGGTGACTTTGCTCCTTGGTTAGTAGTAGAAAGAGGCACTTGCTGCATTTACTTCAGGGCAGGTGCGGATCCGCCCCTCTGCAGCAGCTGCAGGTAAATCGATGGAGGCAAAGACACGTGTACTCCAAATTACTCCATCTCCGGCATCCAGGTGGAGGTAGCCCTTGCTTCCGGGGTTCTTGCTGCTCTGGATGGGTCCGTTTCCATTGCTCAGGTCAAAGGGAGTGCCTCTTTTAGCCTGCCTCTCCCCAGCTACATATTAAGATTTTTAGAAAAATGAGGTGTCATCGTAACAGTATGAACAAAGGTGGCCCGGTTTCGCTTTAGTCCTTTGCAGTTCCTCTCATCTCACTGTGCTTCCGGCTGATGCTCTGGAGCCGTTGCTTTCCCACAGGTACCTTGACAACCAGGTGTTCGTATCGCTGGCCAATGGAGAGCTCGTTGCCTACCAGAGAGAAGCAGGTAAATTGTTTGGACGTAACGGAGGTTTTACTTGCGGGGGGGGGAGGGGGGACTGCTTCCCTCACCTGGCTGGAAAGGAAAACCATTCAAAATCCAAGGTAGCCCCTCAGAGCTGAGCTGAATCTGGTGCAAGCGCTTTCCCCAGGAACTTGTGTTGTGAGAACCTAATCTGGATTGTGTCTGCAGCAGGGGGCGCATCCCTGGTCTCCAGCCCTCAAGAGGAAGGGCTGTGTTGATCCAGCGTGAATCTGGAGCAAAATCGAAGCCTGCTGCACGCTCCCATCCGTCCTCACCGGGGTCTCAGCACTGCAACTGAGGGTGGGCGCACTCCATGTCTGATGGGAGAAGCGAAAGGCTGACTCCGTGTTTCCCCCTCCCCGTTTCCCTCCACACAGGACGCTTCTGGGACTCCCAGAACTCCAAATCCCTCTCCTTGGGCTCTCCGGGCAGCCCCATCACCAAGATGGCCGCTGTGGGGGGGCGCTTGTGGTGCGGATGCCAGAATCGGATCCTCGTCCTCAACCCGTCCACACTGCAGCAGGAGGTACGAATGGAGCCCCTCGCCCTCCGGACTCGGCCCCCTTCCTGGGCCCAGCCTGAGGCGTTAGCCCTCTCCAGAGCTCCAGAAGATCCCAGTCCGCAGTTCCATGTTGATGGCAGCCGACACGGGGGACAAAAACTCATGAAGCAGCCCTGCTCTGGTGCATCTACTGGGCTGGGCCAGTTCCCCTAGCACTCCCTCCCGGGGCCGGCCGGCTGGCCACGCTGGAGCAGTGCCAGCGCCCCACTCCCAGCTCAGACAGCTGCCCCGGAAGGACTCCACGGTTGGTGGTTTTGAGACCTCTGAGAGATCCGGGGCAAGAGCCAGGCCATGCTCCCTGTCTCGCTCCCGGCAGGGGTCTCCGTGCAAGGTGGCCAAAGCCACTCCTGTGCCCAAACCAGGCCCGAACCCCGGTTGAAACGGACCCGGGTTATCTGCTCCATCCAAGCATGGCCAGAGTGGTTGGCCACCCCCTGCTCATCGAGCTTGCCCAGGCGGGGGGAATTTGGCATTGGCCTGAAATGATGTGGCTCTTCCAGGCCCAGGGAGGGCTTCCTCAGGAGGAGCCTCACCTCTTTAGGGGCCCGCTCCCCCTCGCAAGGGGTACCAATTACCTCCCTGGCCAGCTGGCTGTTCTCTCCCTGCTAGCTGCTCGGGGGCAAGGATCCCGTTTGGCTGCGGCTGCACGAACCGATCCACGCTCCGTGTCCGCATCCTCCAACAGAAACATCTGGGGCTTTTCCAGAAAGCTGGACCAGGTTCCACTTAGCAGCCGCTTTCTGAGAGCTTCAGCTATTGAGTGCTATGAAAACATAATTAACGAACAGATCGATGCTTTTAGGAAGGATTCTGGCAAAACCCAAGTCTCTTCGGTGCCCTCGGGCCCCTGGCCCCTGCTTCAATTCCATTTTGGGGCAGCTGCGGTTCCGTTTTCCCATCATGCCCCGTCATCACAATGCCCCAGGGCATCCTGAGAAATGTAAATGGTGGTCGCTGCCGCTGATTCGACAAGGGTGAGGGCACCTTCAGGTGTGGAGGCTGTGCATCCCCCGCCGTGCCCGCTCGGGAACTATCTTGGGCGAGAGGGGAAGGGAAGTCTGAGGAGCTGACCCGGCCAGACGGTTCTCGCCGCGGCACCTCGTCTCCGAGCCCGCTCTGGGTCCCTGACGCCCGGTACCGCCGGACGAGGGGGCCCCCCGCTTCCCAGGGCCGGCCTCCGTCGGCCCCTCCCAGCCCGACCGGCCCCTTCCCTCGCCTTTGCAGCACTCCTTCCACATCGGGCAGGACGGCACCCGCAGCGTGACCTGCATGGCGAGCTCCGTCGTGGGCGTCTGGATCACCCTGCAAGGCAGCGCCCAGGTGCGGCTCTACCACCCGGCCAGCCACGACCAGCTGGCGGAAGTGGACGTCACCCCGCCCGTGCACAAGATGTTGGCAGGTACGGCGGGGCGCTCGGCGGCGACCGTCCGGAGGACTCCTGGCTGCGTCGTGGCCTGGCTCCCAGAGCCCCGCTTGCCGCCGGGGCGGGGGGGCGGCTGGGGATTCTGCTTCCCCCCGGCCTGGTCCGTCCCCCTCGCTCCTCCGCGAGTCCTCCCTCCCGCGCGCATCACAGGGGATTCGAAACCTGCCTTCGCCCTGCTCAGACCTTCTGTCTAGCTAGCCCGGCGTGTTTAGTGTCCACCGGCAGTGTTTCTCCAGGGTCTCCCAAGAGGAGCCAGCAGTGGAACCGGGATGTTCAACCTGCAAAACGGGGGCTCGTTCCCGGACTTTAAGCTTTTTAAGAGGGGCAGTAGACATCCAGAATAAATGCAGGGGGACATTTCTGGCAGCAGGTTGAAACTGCACGAGACACGTGCGTGGAAAGTGCCCTTGGGTTTGCCTTCGGGGGCTTTCGCTAGGAGCCCTCGCCACGCAGGAGCCCTGAGCTGCGGGCCGGTGCGTGCCGTGGGAGCCGGCAGCCACAGGAGGTCCGGGGCCATCCTTGCACCCCGGACTCCCCCACCGGGACCCACGTGGGGAGAGAGAAAACACAAGCCCCGGGCACTCGGAAGTGCGGAAGCTGACCGATTTGGCCTGTTGGCAAGCTCTCTGTCTCCGCTACAGCGTGCCATTTTGGTTTTGAGGGGGGAGCCGCTTTGTGGGGTGGCGTGAGCCGCACGCAGGCCATAAATCGCCCACCCCTGGCATATTGGGCAGAGCATCGGGCTTAGGCTGGGGAAGTCGGGATTTGAGCCTTCACTCTGCCGCGAAGCCCAGCGGGACTCTGCCTGCACGCCTGCCGGGCCTCGCCGGGCCATCGTGGGGGGGAAGGCCCCTTTCGCTGTCCCCTGGGGCCCCCCCTCCTTGAGGAAGGGAGGCATGCAGAAGCGACAGCCGCTGGTTCAAGTGCCGGCTCACGGGACAGACATCTGGGGTGGCCCCAGCAGGTACAAAGAAGAAAAGGGGGAGGCCTCCACATGCTGCCAGGAATAAGAAATACCCACGGACGCACGTCCATCAGGGGCTTTCAGAGGGATGGCAGCAAAGACTATAGGAAGAGCACTGAAGCACAAACTTTACATCCCCAGGTCTCCTAGTACAGGGTCCGTTGTCGTCTTGCCTGCAGGAGGTGAATTGTTGAAATCCCAGGGCTCCTAAAAGGACCCCTTTTTGCTCCCACCCTGATGGTGGGGCTTCCGTCATCCCACTGCACCCCCTTTTGGAGGAGGGGGATCAACCCTTTGGCCATGAGATCTCCAGGTGGGCCTCTCAGCCTGAACTCTCTGCCCCCACCCGGACAGTATTCCTCATCTGCGTGGCTTTCTCGCCCACGGGCAAGGACCACACGCCACCCACCACGGCTAGAGGGAGGCTGGGAACGGCGCGGTCTCCCTGCCGCTTCTCCTGCCGAATGGGCCCATTCCAATCAAGGCCCGGCTGGCCAGAGAGATCCCTGCAGCCCGTCCCAGCGATGGCTGCCAGCGCTCCTTGCGTGGAGCTGGTCTGTGGGGGAAGTTGGCTCCTAAAGTGGAGCAGCCCCCCTGCCGTGGGCCGGACGGCAACGCCGTGGGCACACAGGAACGCGTGAGAAGCCCGTGCAGGATCAGGACAGCGCTCCATGTGCATGGTGGCAGACCAGCTGCCCAGGTCCCCTCTAGCAGAGGGGTGCAAGACCCCCCCCCACCCAGCTCCTTAGCAATGGGGGCCTGCAGGCGGGTGAAGGAGGGAGCATGTGGCCAGCAGGGCTAGTGGCCACAGATGGCCGCCTCCTCCATGAACATGCCCAGCCCCCTTTGAAAGCCTCCAAATTGGGGGCCATCACCGCGTCCCGTGGCAGCAGATTCCGTAGTTTACCTGTACTCTCTGTGAAGATGGACTTCCTGAATCCCCCCTCCCCCCCCCCGATCAGCTTCATGTGATGCCCCCTTTGGGTCTGAGTGTTACAAGAGAGAAGGAAAAAGGTCTCCGCTCCGCTTTCTCCACGCCGGGCATCATTTTAGCAAACTCCATCGTGTCTCCCCTTCCTCCGAGCTGAACAGTCCCTGTTGTTCCGGCCGCTCCTCACAGGGGAGCTGCTGAGCCCCCGGATCATTTTGCCCGCCTTCTCCAACACGACGGTGCGCCTGCTCCAGGGGGCAGGAGAATATCGTGGCGGAGTGTCCCCCAGACGGGGCCCCACGGCGCCACCGCCCCACCTGGCTGGCGCTTGAGGCCACCCCGGGCCTCTGGACCCACGCGTGGCTGCCTCCGGCCACTGAGCTCTCCTGCCGCCCTCCACAGGGTCCGACGCCATCATTCGGCAACACAAGTCCGCCTGCCTGCGCATCACCGCCCTCCTGGCCTGCAAGGACCTGCTCTGGATCGGCACCAGCGCCGGCGTGGTGCTGACGCTCTCCATCGCGGCCAGCCCCGGCGCCCTGAAGGCCCTGCCCCTGCCGGTGGGCCTTTCCCAGGGACACACGGGCCACGTCCGGTTCCTCACGACCATCGAGCTGCCGGACGGCTTCGACATCCTCTTTCCCTTGCCCAAGGACCCAGGTGGGTTGGTGGGGCCTCGGCGGAGGTGAGGCAGGGACGGGGGGCCGCGAGAGAGGGCGTCTTCGGCTTTTGAAGTGAGCTGGGAAAGAGCTGCCTCTTGTGTAACGCCAGCTTTGGGAAGCTGGTACAGGCCAGCTGACGTTTCCGACACGAGCTGTGCAGGACTGCAGATGTATAGATGATGATGATGATGATGATGATGATGATGATGATGATGATGATGATTAGAACATTTCTATGCCGCCCCTTGCCGAAGCCTCAGGGCGGCTTACAAACACAATAAAATACAATAAAATACAAAAATAACAACATAAAATTAAAATTAACAATATAAAATAAATATATAAAATATAATTTGTGAGGCCCATGTGAGGCCCACGTGTGAAATTCATGGGAAAAGAGGAGGGGACCCACTAAAGACACTTTGCTTTGAAGCGATCCCGTTTCCATGGACACCAAGAACGGGGTGCAAAGGTTTGCTGGTGCCCATGGGCACCAGGTTGCTCACCCATGATGAAATTCCTCCAGGATCCCGGCTTTTCTATTCCAGTGAGTGTTTGGAAGCCCACCTGGAAGCGTGAGATGGGTCATTACAGCACTTTTCCCAGCCTGGTGCCCTGCAGATGTTTTGAGCATTAACTCGAAACAGCCTGAGCCATGAGGACCGGTGGGCTGTGTTGCAGTTTGAAACCTCTGGAGGGCACCAGTTTGAGGAAGCCCGGTTTCTAGTGAAAATGGGGTGATGCTGTAGGCACGCTGCTTGCCCTTTTAAAAGGGCTCCCACCCTGAAGGTTTTTATTCTGTCATAAATAATAAGATTTTCATCTCAACTGCACTTTTGATACGGCAGCTTAGACCGCATGGGCACTTGGGTTCCAGCCGTGGCATTTGGGTTACCTCGGCAAAGAAGATTGCAAAAGCTACTGGAAACATAGAAACAGAGCGAGTCAGAAGGGGTGTCCTGGGTCATCTAGTCTGACCCCCGGCTCTAGCCGGCTCCGCTCGTGACATGTCCCTTCCTGCCCTCCCAGGTGTGGAAAAATCCAGCGACCTGGAGAAGCGGGACTCGGTGCGGCACCGGCCAGCCAAGTCCAAGATGCTTGTGATCAGCGGCGGAGATGGCTACGAAGACTTCCGGCTCACCAACAGCAGTGAGACGGTGGGACGGGACGACAGCACGAACCACCTGCTTCTCTGGAGGGTCTGATGCGCCACAGAGCCGGGCCCCCTCTTGGGGAGGGGGGCGAGAGGGGGGGCACACGCCCCACTTCCGTCCTCGCTGTTTACACCGAATGCTGCTGCTCGTCGCCGTGTTTCATCTCCCATCGTGAATGTCCCGTGCGCCGCACGGTCGCCTGGCGGGTCCGCCGCGCCGAGGGGGCGACACCCTGGGATGGATTGTGCACAGACCTTCTCCCCCCGCCTCCAGGACACAAGCCCCTCCGGCTGCGTGTGAGTGTACAGGTGCACACGCCTGCGTGCGTGAGGCTGCCGTGGGAGTCGCGGCCGTCCTGGCACGCCAGGCCCGCCGGAAGGCTCCCGGGGGGACCAGAGCAGCCGCGCGGAATTCAGCTCTGCTCCGGAAAGGGAGGCCGCTCTGTGCGTGCGTGTCACCCGGTGAGGACCCCCAGCCCCAGCATCCTGGGCCGTCTCTCCATCTTGCTCTCGCCAGGCCTCCGAGTCCAAAGGCAGGCCTCCACAAACAATACAGGCCCACCCTCCCGTGTAATCTCCCCCGCACAGGTAGGACAGCACCATGTCTCCCGCCCTGTGCGCCCCCCACAGCCCTCCGTGTAATTTGTCCGTGGAGGGGCGCCCCGTGGCATCACTGCGTTCTTCTGTCCCCGGGGGGCACCTGGGGCGGCCCCGACACGCCTCGCGAGAGCCGGCCGCTCCGCACCCGTCTCACCAACATCAGCTGAGTCGCTTCCTCATCGCCAGCACACTGACAACGGGGGGGGGGGCGTGTGTGTGTGCGTGTCTTTTTTAAACGCCTGTATAAATAACCTTATTTATTGTTGCCTGGGGCAGCGTGTTTGGCAAGAGGGGAAGGGGGTGCGAACTCCGCTGATTCTGAGCAAGTGGCAGAGGGCTGGTGGGGGAGAAGCGGTGGGCCCCGGCCACGGCGAGGCGGCCCATGCGGGGGCCGGGGCCACGCGGGAAGAGGCGCCGCGGGCCGCCCGCCTCGTGTCGCGGTGCCGACGCGGCGTGGCGGGAAGGGCCGAGGGGACGTGACGGGCGGAGGCGCAGGGTCCGTCTTGGATTCTGGGAGGGGGGCAGATGAGCACAAGCACCTGGACGGGGACACGGTGCCCCCGAGCCGGCCCGTGGGCGGAGGTCTCGCCGCGGCGCTTTGGCTGAGCATCGCTTGGCACCCCGGGGCAGCCGTGTTCCCGGTCGTCCAGGGATGGAGGGAACAGGGTGGCTGGCGGTTTTATGACGTTCATGTACAGTATTTATGTTGTTGTTTTTTTTACTTGTTAGCAGTCATCGGGGGGGGGCGGAGGGCAGGGAGTAGCCGAATGGACTGTTAGCGGCACTTAATTTATACATTCATTGATACAGTTCCAGGGGGCGGGGGCTGCCGGAAGATAGACAAACGTAAGAGCTGATTTAGTCGGTCATCTTTGGGTCTGAGAGCAATTCCTTGGCATAATGATAATTAATTTTCCGCGTTGGCCACTGGGAGAGCAAAAGATCCGCAGATTCACCTGCTCAAGCCCCCTTGTAACTTTGAATGAAGCCCCCCCACACACACACTTTGTATCCCCACAGGTGGCTTTTGGACAGGGTTAGGAGGGGAAGGGGCAGCCTGGACCATGAGTGGGTGGGGGGGCAAGGAGGAGGCCGTCTACGTGCCGTGGGGACCCCTTCGGCCACGACGTGCTTGCTGGAAGTCCTGCAGAGTTTGCTGGGAGAGGGAGACTGGCCTGATCCACCAGGGAACTTTTTCCTGCCGCCCCTTCCTATGCGTGTTTCTTGAGACGTGAGTACATCCCCCTAAATCCCGTGGCAATTACTCCCAGGCAAGCCTGCATTGGATTGCAGCCGGATGCTCCCAAATAAAGGGACGGCCAAGGAGCAGTTAAGCTGGCTTGGAAGTCTCCTGGTTGCTCAGAAACCTTCAGTAAAGGCAGCCTGGCCTTCTAAACTGAACGTCTCCTAGGGGACCCCAGGGACTCCAAAACAGGAGGAGATGGTACACGATGGAAGCAGCTTTCCTCTGGATTCCAGCAGCTCCCTGTCCCTCCGCTCGGAAAGTTCGGAACGCCGTGACTCCGAGTCCTCCGAGTCCACACGGTGCCTCATTCCCAGTCTGAGGGCTCCACATAAACAGCCAGAAGAGCTTGTTCGGAAATGTGGTTAAACATTTCCAACCCATTTTATATCTGGCAAATCTACAGAACTTAAAAACCTCATCCCACCATTTGCAAAACCTCCCCCTTGTTTTAGAAATCGGATTCCCTCATTCATATCCTGGGTGAAAAGCCAAAGTTGGAAGCCCAAGGGCAACAGAAATCTATCCGCTCTGTTTTGAAAGATGGCATCCGTTCCATATGGCCCTGATGCTGCAGTTTTGGGGACCTTTCGTTTAAAATGCAGGCCCAGAAATGTTAGTGTCATGTTTTTATTCCAGTCTGATTCAGTCTAGATTTAGGGAGCATACAATGCCAGTCAAAAGGCATTGTGTAGATTTTCCACCTTTTCCTCGTTAGTTTTCTTTCTGGCACAAAACATTGGAAGACGGGGAGCACAAGAGGAAGGCCGTTTCCTCTGGATCCGCTGCCAAATTCTGCGAACGAGGCATGGGCCAGTTGCACAACAAAACCTCGTCCACAAACATAACGTGTCTTTCCTTCACTTAACTTTAGACCCCTCTGTGCGAGATGCAAATTATTTCCATGAAACAAACAAAAAGCAATATATTGGCGCTTTCGACCTACTTTGTTCTTTCCAGTCTTTTAATTTTTCTTTGCAAACCCAATTTTTTTTTCCGATTTATATCCTGCCTTTTTCCTACAAAGGGCTCAAGGCAGCTTACATGATTCTCCTCCTCCATCTTATCCCCACAACAACAACCCTGTGAGGTAGGTTGGGCTGAGAGCCTGTGACTGGCTCAAGTCACCCAGTTGGCTCCATGGCCGAGCGGGGACTCGAACCCAGATCGCCTGAGTCCCTGTCCCATGCTCTAACCACTACACCACACTGGCTCCACACTTGCATTATTTTGCAAGCTAGAAATAATTTTTGGAAGGGGAATTCTGCCTAGAATCTAAGCTCTTGCCTGAACCACATTCTTTAGGGCTGTGGTGGCACCAATTGTCACAACACTCTTGCAGTGTAGAACAGGAAGGCCCCAATTCAAGCTCACTCCATGGACTTAGCAGGCATCCCTGCAGGTTGGCACAATTATGCTCACTTGCCTCACAGGATTGTCTTAACCCCGTTGCGTGAAGATGAAGAGCTTTGAATGCTCCAGTGTTCTCTGCAGTAGTTCTAAGAGAAATACCGACTGTGCAGGATGCAAAATCCCCCGGCGACACATCCCATTTTGTGAACGTTTTTCTGCCCGTGCACAAAATCACCTGCGTTTGTTCTGGTTTGCAAATCAACGGATCCACGCCTGGAGGCGCACCAGCGGAAGACTTGTGTTGGAGAAGAGCTCCGTGCTGCCTGCGTAGAAGCAAAGGCCTTTCGACTCCTTTGTGTTTACTCGGTTCTTCTTTGTGGGCTCTGTGTGTCACACGTGTGTGCTTTGCTGTGGACCATGAGGCTTGGATCAGAAAGAAACTTCCACGGTTGAAGAAGGAACCGTGTCATCGGAGGGTCGACCGATGCGAGTGTCCTCCAGAAGTCCTGCTTCATTCAACTGTCTAGATTAAGTGGGCTCATGGATTTTGGAAACCCCCTTGATCTTCATGAAATGAATTTAGCCTTGCCCAGGATGGCAAACTGTCCATACACAAACCCCAAAGAAACCCCTGGAACTCCATAGAAACCCCACTTCATCTTCTACAGAAAGGAACTCCTTCCATCCTCCCTCCCTCCCTCCCTCCCTCCCTTCCTTCCTTCTGTCCGTCCGTCCGTCCGTCCTTCCATCCGTTCCTTCCTTCCTTCCTTCCTTCCTTCCTTCCTTCCTTCCTTCCTTCCTTCCTTCCTTCCTTCCTTCCTAGAGTTTCTGCTGGCACAAGCAAAACTGCCTTCCGTATTACACGCTTCATCAAAATAGCCACATCATTCATGGAGCTATTTTGGTCTTGGGTTGAGTCAAACCGTCGACGGGGTGGATTTGTCAATGGCTCTAAGGCTCAGGAGGAAAAATGCTTCCCGTGTTCTAGAAGATTCATGTTCACACTGGAACTGTGATGCTGGTGAAGTGAGCGGGCATTTCTAGCATGTTCCTTGTCAACAAGGTGGCCCAAAAGCATCATGTTCCTTAAGTACAGGGATGCTCACGTTTCCGGGATGGGCTTCAATGTTTCCCTTTCAACTTCGCAGAACAGTAGAAGGGTCTGTAGGAGAGTTTACGGCTGCAATCCTTTGTGCTTGCTTGGATGGTCCCCCTGAACACATTTTCTGGCCAGAAACAGCAAACTGAGCTACTAGAATGACCATGAAGGTGCGTACTAAAGCTGGAGACAGACACCGGGAGAAAAGCTGCGCTTCCCCTGCTGTGCACACACGCTTTGTTTTTGCTGCAGTTCTCTCTGGTCAAATAGGTTGGCAGGTTTTTGGAGATCCTGCAGAAACCTGCCAAACCTGTTTACCGGAGACGAAAGACAGAGTGTACATACTGCAAACCGTGCTCATGCTCCCTGGTGACCTTCCGTCCTTTCTGTGTAACACGGGCAAATGTGGATCATGTCATGCACCATGTGGAAATGGCCACTCCCCATTCCACTGAAGTTATCCATCTTCTGCCAACACACCCAAAAATGGTTGCATTTCTTTTTTGGGGGGGGGATCATTCTGCCCCCATCTCCAGCAGAACAGATGGTGTGGAGGCCCCCGGTTTGACCTCTAAAGAGGTACTGGGGTTTCGGCCTTCCTAGGACAAATTCCATCTGCCATGGAAAAGTCTGCTTTTTAATCCCATGTTCAGGAAATAGGCTGTGTGTGTGTTCAGTGGTGGGGAGAAGGCTCTCTGCACATATGCAGAGTGCAGCGGTCTTCATTTACTCAACTTCTCCAGGACTTAGACATGGTACTGAAGCCCAGCATAAAACCAAACCCCAAACGGTGAGCTCTTGAAGATGTCGTGCTTGTCAGCAAATGCAGCAGTTTCTACCATGATAGAAACAATTCGAAGGAGCCACTCGTGTCTGTTGATTTGCGGTGCCGCTTTCTTGTCGTCGTCGCATGGATGACACCGAAGCAAATTACTTCAGAGTAGACTGTGATGATGGCTGGCAAATTTCTCTTCTGGCTTTTCCGCTCCCAAAGTTTGACTCTGTCTCTTTTCGTGGGCTTTACTGACCTCCATGGCCGCCAAAGGGTTCTTGTAGATATCGGTACATTTTTCCCCTTCTCTGTACATAATGCCCTTGAGTCTTTTGATGGTCAATATGAATTTAATGGCATATTTTTATATACTTGTTTAAGTTTTCATAGGCACAAGCAAAAGTGCCAACACAGTTTAAGTTATAATAACTATAA